AATTGGAGAAGATGGGGATTAATATGAGAATTGAAAGGTAAGTAAGGAACTAGTTAAAGGGGAGACTATGTGCTGACAGGTCAACTGTCAGGCTGCAGGGAGATTGTGAGTGGAGTTCCTCAAGGATTGGTTTTGGGACAAAAAGGGGGAATGTGTTGATAAAATTTGCAGATGATACAAAATTTGGGAGGTATTTCTGGAAGAGAAGAGGACCAGAATATCATACAAGAAGATTTGGAGAACCTTGAAAATTGGAGTAATGGGATGAAATTTAATAGTGCAAAATGCAAGGTCATGCACTTAGGGACTAACAACAAAAATTTTTTGCTGAAAGCTGGGGATTTATCAGTTGCAAATGACAGAGGAAGAGAAATGACAGAGGAAGAGAAAGACCTGGATATTGGTCAATCAAAGGATGACTATGAGCCGCCAATGTGATGTGGCTGTGAAAAAGGCTAATGCAATCCTAGGGTACATCAGGGGAGGTGTTTCCAGTAGAGATGGGTGAGTGCTATTACCATTATACTAGGCACTTGTGAGACTTCGTCTGGAATACTGTGTGCAATTCTGGTCTCCCATGTTTAAGAAAAATGAATTCAAACTGAAACAGGTGCAAAGAAGGGTTACTAGGGTGATCAAAGGAATGGAGAACCTACCTTATAAAGGAGACTTAAGGACCTTGGCTTATTTAACCTAACAAAACAAAGATTGAGGGGAGATATAATTGCTTTCTAAAAATACATCAGTGAGGGAGAACAGTTATTTAAGTTACGGGCCACCAACAAGTTTAGACTTGAAATTAGAGGAAGATTTCTAACTGTCAGAGGAGTGAAATTTTGGAACAGCCTTCCAAGGGAGCAGTGGGGGCAAAAAATCTAACTTGTTTCAAGACTGAGCTTGATAAGTTTATGGAGAAGACGATAAAATGATATTGTATACAGTGGCATGTGGCCCATCCGCTACTGCTATTAGCAAATATCTTTAAAAGCCAGAGATGGGAATCTAGATGGGGAGGGTGCTGAGTTACTACAGAGAATTGTTTCCCAGGTGTCTGGCTGGTGGGTCTTGCTCACAAGCTCAGCATCTAATTGATTTCCATATTAGGGAGGTAGGGAAGGAATTTTCCCCCAGATCAGATTAAAGGAAACCTTGGGGCAGGGGGGGTTCACCTTTCTCTGCAGCATGGGGCACAGGTTCCTTGCTGGTTTAAACTAGAGTAAATGGTGGATTCTCTGTAACTTGAAGTCTTTAAATCATGATTTGAGGACTTCAGTAACTCAGCCAGAGGTTATGGGCCTATTACAGGAGTGAGTGGGTGAGGTTCTGTGGCTTGTGATGTGTAGGTTTTCGGACTAGATGGTCTTCTTGCCTTAAAGTCTATGAGTCAGAAGAGGCCCTCTGTACGACAAATACAGTCATGCCAGGGGATCAGATTATGGCATGGTTGTCCCCTAACATGATCAAAATATTGTTTGATAGATTGGACTTCACTGTATCTTAACTTTTTCTCAGACCAGTGCCTGTCCTTGCAAATAGAGTTACTTCCCTGAGTTGCTTTCAACACACCTTACCCAACACACAATGGCCCAGATCCTCAGAGGTATTTAGGCTCCTAACTTCATTGCCTACCCTTGCAAAGCTACTGCTAATGCGCCTGTGCAACGTTAACTTTTCTCCTTGAATAAAAATGGAACTATCAGGATTGGTTCCACTCCAAAGTCAAAGAAATATATTTTCATGTTAATTCTGATTTACGTCAGATTTACACAATATCACAAAGGGTTAATGACGAGGGGATCATTTAAATCATTAATGCAGTTTGTACTTTCCATTTAAGAATGATTGATCTTTATTTTGCATGTGTGCACACATGTTCTACTCCTTGGAGATGTTTTTGTATTGAAAGTGTCAACAGCCTAATCATTTACAACTTTATTAAATGACAAATTGAGGCATTTACTATAATGTCATTCATCTACTGGTTAATTCCCCTGTTCTGAATTCCTTATGAGTGTCATGGAGCAGCCAGTTGCCTTGGGGCTATATCAAGCGGTTACAATAGTAATAATAATAACAAAGAATTATACAATTTTCAATATGCCTGGAATACTGCTGATCTCTGCTTTGCAAAACTTACTCTCTTCTCTAATATATTGCAGAAAATGTGTAGAAAGTGTGGACAAAAATATGTACTAGCACTTCTTTTAGTTTTATTTCTCTGCTTATTTGCAATTCTTGCCATATGCACACTGCAGCTTTGCTGATCAAACATCCTGGCTGCTCACGTGTGAGTAACTTGAAGACCTCATTGTCAGACGTGCAGCTCCTTTTGACTTCATTAGAAGTTGTGCGTACTCAGGCTCTAATTCAGCAAAGTACTTAAGTCTGCGCTTAACTTCAAGCCTTAATAACCTGGATTGCCATTGACAGTGGGAGTGTTAGATAATTATTTCAGGCACCTTAGGACTCATTTAATACACTACTTTGATACTGTGTGGACAGTGGCCTTTTAGGTAAAATCAAGCAACAGTCCCATGTTCATTCAAAGCCATTTATACACCGCCATGAGATTCCCTCCCTTTGTTTATAACTCACTAAAAGCAGTAAATACACTTGGAGCAGAGGTGCAGTGGGGCAAGTCACCATCCACTCCCACGCTGGTAGGAATCCAGAGCTAGGCTGAACTGCCCCAGAAGTGAATTCCAATATCCAGGAAAGGGCAAGGGCAACTCCACCAGGAGACGTGCTATTGGGTATTCCTCCTGGGCAGTGTCTGCTGTTAGGGCACCGACTGAGCCTCGACTGTTTTTCAAAACTCTCCTTCAGAGGGGCCAACATCCCCTCTGGTGCAGCTGCCCTGATTGTCTTAGGGATGGAAAGTGTGCATGCTCTCCAGCTTGAAATTTACCCCCCCACTCTCAAGTTTGCATTTAGCACTGTCCAAATGCTTTTTACAGTGCTATGTACACGTGTAAACTTGATTGAAAAATATGTAGCTGAGCACCCTTCTCTTTGAGATCACTGACTCAGATCTCAGAGAATTAATAATATCTGATGACTCTTGGGGGGCCAGTGTGAAATAAGTTGATAGTATCACTCTGGTTCCTAGACAATGGTCCACGGCACAAAAGCACCACCACAATTGGCACGGTCACTGACGTTGCAGTCTTGGCAAAGAGATGAAACACTGAAGGGGCATGAAAACAAATCTCTCTGCTCTGGAGTTGTCCTGCCAATTCAGGGCTGAGGCACACTGTGGAGGCAGGTGATGTGGACGTTGTGTCTCTGCCTGTTCGGTACCTGTCCGTTGGATAAAATGAAAACTACAGACTCTAGGGTGGTGAAGCCAACACCTCGAATTGGGGTAGCATGGGAGACACGATGGGTTTGTGAGTAAATTGCTATCATCATTTTTCACACTTCCAAAAGCAGTGTTCTTGGACAATATTATACTATTATTACTATATATCTTACACCTAGATATTCACATTGTTTGTCAGCAGAATTGTATTTACTTGCAACTTCTTTTTTCTTTTTTTTCTGAAAGTAAGGGCTTCACTGGGACTGAATTTGTGGAGAAATGCAAAATTTGGCCCAGTGTGTTTGGGTCAATTATAATTTTTAGGACAGAGACTGCTACTGTGATATTTGTTTGTAAAATGCTTACCACAATGGAGTTCTGATGAGGGCTGTGGAGCATTACTGGAGTGTAAATAACAAATGTATTAATGTGCATAATTCCTGCTAGTATCCACTCCCTGCAAACTGTAGAGGCCTGATCCTGCGAAGTTTGAGCATTTCCTGTGAGTTGCTCCTACTCAGCCTCTCTGACTCAGGGCTCTGTATCTTACAGGTTTGGACGCTGGGATCCAAGAGCACATTTTAATAGAGGTCTTGTCTGTACAGTAGTTTAGTGCATGGTAAGATGGGGTGTGAATCTACAGTACACCATGCACTAAGTGGACAGTGCTACCGCACACTAACAGTTCTACAGTGCGCTGTGATCTTCTCCCTTTTCAAATAGCAGTAGGTCAAAGCACACTACGGAACTTTTTGTGCAGGGGCGGCATGATCCGTGTGTACAGTTACTACGTGTCCGGCCAGAGTGCTGTTGACTTGCACGCTGGCTTGCCACACACTAAATCACCACATAGACATGCCGTGAATATCTTCTTGCCCTTATATGTATAGACAGATGGAGAATATCTTATTGCCCTTATATAAATCCATGGTATGCCCACATCTTGAATACTGTATACAGATGTGGTCTCCTCATCTCAAAAAAGATATACTGGCATTAGAAAAGGTTCCAAGAAGGGCAACTAAAATGATTAGGGGGGTTGGAACGAGTCCCATATGAGGGGAGATTAAAGAAACTAGGACTTTTCAGCCTGGAAAAGAGGAGACTAAGGGGGGATATGATAGAAGTATATAAAATCATGAGTGGTGTGGAGAAAGTGAATAAGGAAAAGTTATTTATTTGTTCCCATAATATAAGAAATAGGGGCCACCAAATGAAATTAATGGGCAGCAGGTTTAAAACAAATAAAAGGAAGATCTTCTTCACACAGCGCACAGTCAACCTGTGGAACTCCTTGCCTGAGGAGGTTGTGAAAGCTAGGACTATAACAGGGTTTAAAAGAGAACTAGATAAATTCATGGAGGTTAAGTCCATTAATGGCTATTAGCCAGGATGGGTAAGGAATGGTGTCCCTAGCCTCTGTTTGTCAGAGGGTGGAGCTGGATGGCAGGAGAGAGATCACTTGATCGTTACCTGTTAGGTTCACTCCCTCTGGGGCACCTGACATTGGCCACTGTCGGCAGACAGGATACTAGGCTGGATGGACCTTTGGTCTGACTCAGTATGGTCATTCTTCTGTTCTTATGTTCCCTTAGTATTGGTTTTGTCCTGGTTCTTATGAACCTGCTTCCTGTTCTGTTAGTAAACTTGAACTTCACATGCCTAAGCCACTTATTCCATGTTCTTTTTATTATCATAGCAGTTCAGCTTTGTTTCCGTTCCCACGGATGTTCTGGAAATAGAAGTTAAGGACAAGTTTGCAAAGAGCCGGCCGATCATTAAACGCTTCTTGGGGAAACTTTCCATGCCAGTGCAACGCCTGCTGGAGAGACATGCTATAGGGTAAATCTGTTATCTGTGTGACTTTTATGTTACTGAAGGCTCACACTGCCACTGTGAAAAGGAGAGCAGAGTCCATGGCTGAAACAGCATGATATAGTCAAATAATCTTGCTCAAATGAAATTACTTACTTGACAGGGATTTGTCTGATTAATGATGCTGGTTGAAGTTAGAATTTACTTCCTTGTTATAAACTTAGGACTCTCTAGTAAAAGTCCTTGCTGAGTGCAATGGTTTTGTTTTCTGATGAGTCCCAAACCTTGCTTTATTTTGTCTCTACACATGGTTCCTTGAAGCAAGCAAACTCAGTGAAAGACATATCTACAAGTATGGAGACAACAAATACACAATCCCCAGGTTTACATGAATACTAGAATAATCTCATTTATTCAAGGTATAAATGTACATAAAACTACCCTGGGAGCATATGCAGCACCAAATGGAAATTAAAATGTGCTTCTCCAGAAGGCATACAGATTTAACACTCTTCACGCTCAGTAGTTTTACAAACATTGACTAAGCTTCAGATGGGGGCAATGAGCAGATCATCTTTTTTCTAGTTTCACTCTTCTCTGAGTGGGGCTGTGGGACTTTTGGATAAAGTGTGTCTTCAAGAGGGACTGGAAGAAAGAAAGGGTGCAGGCATCATGACTGCCCAGGGATGTGCTCTAGGTGTATCAACGGCATGGAAACAGGAGTGGGAGGAAGACATGAAGGGGCAGTCAGCTGAGTAGCTCGAAGGGCGAAGAAGAGAGCAGAAAAGAAGCAAGAACAGAGAAGCAGGTACGGGGAGTCAGGCTGTACAGGACTTTGAAGGCAAAGACAAAGAGCTTGAATTTGATACAGAAGGAAAGGGGAAGGAAATGCAGGGATCTGAAGAGGAGTTTGACATGGTCAGATCATCAGGCAGGGAAGGCTTGCCACCACATATATCCCAGCAGACCTGGGTTACTAACTTAACTGAATCTTTGCACTGTAGTTGGAGACATTGGCCCCCCGCTTCCCAGCTATTCCTTCCCTCATGCTCTCAGACATGCCCGCACTGCAGGTTGAAATAATACAGTGTGAATCACCTTTGAAAATGTCAGGTGTTTGTGAAGGATACAGCAGCTTTCTCCATTCGCTGTAGATACTGGATGAGTTTACAATCTCTGTAACAGTACTTGCTTTCTTACAGGGACAGGGTTGTCAGCTACACTCTGGGACGTAGGCTTCCAACAGATCATGTCAGCGGTCAGCTGCAGTTTCGGTTTGAGATAACTTCTTCTATCCATCCAGGTATTGGCTTCTTCAGTAATGCCTTATTTACAGAGAGCTGAATTTTTTGTTTACATTCTTTTCACCTACAGAGGCTTGAATTCTTTTAGGGCTAGACTGGGCCTTTAGGCAGGGTCATGAGCAAAGGATAGTACATAAGCTACCCCCCATGGCAGAAGCACAATCCCTGCTCTGCTTTCCCTTTGCTCCTAGAGTGTGAAGTCATTTACTACTGGCCTACACTATTAAAGGATCATCTCCTCCCCTAGAATGAGTCCGGGAGAGTTAAGGTTCTTCACACTCCCACATCACCTACTCCAGGGAGGGAGCAGCTCTGCTTACTCCTATCTACCCAGATCCAAGGTGTGCTTAGCCCACATAGGTATATAAGGGTGGGAGGAGATTCTGGTCATGCTTACTCCCTTTCACAGGGTACATATTCCAAGTCACAGTCTTGTCCACTAATAAGAATTTATTGGCAGCCAGTCTGTAAAAATGCTTTTTCTGCTGTGTATTCCACATAGCTCACCACTGAGAATCCATTACGTCAATATCAGAATAGCATAGAGAGATATTGTTGTTGAATCAGGACCTTTCTGAATATCAGCAAGGACTCACATTAAGCATTACTTTTTCCACTGGCCGCAAAAAAAATAGCACCATATAGAGTTTCTGATTGTGTCATATCCAACCTTCAGGCACACCAAGTTTTTGCTTTACACGGTACACATGGTTTTAGACTGATTTAGTTCTTGTGTTTGTGACTATTGTAGGCGGGGGGAAGGGAGAAGGTATTTTCCAGATCATAACAAATTTTAAGTGAGAAATGATGGCAACATCATAATAGCAAAATAAATAAACAGATAATAATACACAACAAGACAGAGAAAGGGAAACCATGGGATGGAGGAAGAAATTGTTATCACGGTTTTAGATCTCAGCTTTCCAGCAGGACTTAACCTTTTACATGCTGTATTTAATCCATCAATATAAGTATCTTGCTTCTGTGATTAACTATGTTTTGTTATTTGCACAGAGGCCTGTGGGTTTGAGTACCCTATGAATAAAATGTTCATTAGGGGGAGTAGAGCTGCTTGGAAATTTTCTGATTTTGACATTTTTCCATGAAAATTTTCAGAAAAAAATGTTCTCATTTTTTGGCCTGTTCTAGTTATTAGGCAGTCCTGTAATGATGGTGCCACCTTGATGCTAGATTTCAGTGTGAGGATCCAATGGTACTGCCCAGGGAATCTTTCTGTCCCTCTGTAACAGAGCCCCTGTCAGGCTATGAGTGCTTACTTTGAAAGGAAATAGTTATATTAAGTAGTTGGAAAATGTGATCCCTGCTTGTTGTGCAACCCTTTCTCACCTTCAGGGTATAACTGGGCCAGTTGGGTAGTGGTGAAAGCACGTTGGTTGCAACTAGGAGCCTCAGGTTTTATGTCAGGTAGGGAGTAACCCCTGGGAGGAGGTGGGGTGGGCAAGAGTAATGTCAGAAGATGTGTGTGTTGGGGAGGGGATTCCTTCCTCCCAGTAGGGTAGGGTGGAAGTGGAAATGGGGTTCAGTTCCCCTCTTTGGAGAAGTACTAGGTGTGGGTTGGAGTAGCAGTAATGGGATGTGGGGGCTGGGAGCAATGGTTGAACCCTTTCTATAAGAATGTGTCCTGGATGGGGATTCCCAGGAAGGAGGAGTCCTGGCACAGGTTGCAGCAGGGAGAGCAGTGTACACACTACCGGGATTAGGCCGCCAATTGTTACACACATTGTTCAGATATTTCCTAGTGAAAAATCAAGACGTCTCAGAATCTGTTTAATCACCTATCTGTGTAACATGATAATGTATGGTTTTAATTTTCTTGGATTTCTGTGGATGCTTGTGCTCCCACAACCTATGCCCCTGATTCAGTAAATGCCTCTTGTTAGAGGACAAGGTGAGTGAGGTAATATCTTTTATTGGACCAACTTCTGTAGGTGAGAGAGACACACTTTCAAGCTTACACAGAGCTCTTCTCTGGGTCTGGTAAAGGTACTCAGAGTGTCACAGCTAAATACCCGGTGGAACAGACTGTTTAGCATAAGTAGTTAACACATATTGTAAGAGACCATTCAAGGTGAAGTGGCCAGTTAACACCTCTGCAGTCATAGGACAAAAAAGGGGGGATAGTGGGCCACAGAGAGATGTAATAAACCATAAATCCCATCTCTTTATTCAGTCCATGATTTTTAGTGTCTAGCAGCATTATGAATTTAAGCTCCCAGGCTTGTCTTTCGAAAGTGTGTGCAGGTTCCCTATGAGGATGAGGACTGAGATGTCAGATATGGAGTGATTGTTTTGTGAAAAGTGTTCACCCATGGGTGAATATGGTGTTTTTGTCTTTTTATCGTTTTCCTGTGTGAGTTTATTTGAGATGTGGTGATTTTCTGGTTTTACCCACATAGTTGTTACTGGGGCATTTAGTGCACCGGATGAAATACACCGCATGTTGTGATAGGCACTTGTAGGACCCATGGATCTTGAAAGGTATGTTGTGGAGGTGGGTATCTATCATTGTGGCAGTGGAATAATTTCTTTTCTTGTTGCACGCAGATGATGAAGAAGTCTCCATTAGTGCAGATCCTGAGTCAGCTGAACTGCAGGAAAGCCCTGTGAACAGTGCTGCAGAGGAAATCCTTGGTGAGCCTCCCTGCACCGACACAGTGACCTCAGAAAGTACAGCTCCAGAGCAGCTAAATGGATGCAATGTGAATGGTGTCAATGTTGATAGCCCTGGGGAAGTCAACCAGAACAGCTTAAATGAAGAGCGAGCAGGAAATAGGGAGGTTGATGCAGGGCCAGCAGATGCTATTGAGTCCTTGGAATCCATCCCAAGGGAAGTGCTGCCTTCCCTGAGCGCTATGGACCTCTCTGAGCAACTGGCTCTGCTGGCTTGCCCGCCTCCTCTGGAGACTGAAGTTAGGGAAAATAATAAAGTCAATTCTGTTACTCAGGGACACGACGACTTCTTTACCAGCATAGAAGCACTAGATATTGATGAGGTGAGTGCAGACATACAGACTGTCAAGGACGTAGAGAAAATTCAGGATGAGGAAGGGGCTTCAGCCCAGGAGGAGGAAGACAATAAGCTGCAGCTAAGAACAACAGGGAAGAGGAAAAACAGGCCCTGCTCCCTGCCTGTGTCTGAACTGGAGACGGTGATCGCATCAGCGTGTGGTGAGCCTGAGACCCCTCGCACACACTACATACGGATCCACAATCTGCTTCACAGCCTGCCCTCAGCACAGATGAGTAGCGATGGAGAGGAGGAGCAGGGAGGCGGCGAGAATGACGAAGAGTCGACAGTCAAGGAAGCATCAGAGAAGGATGTGGTTAGCGAGTCTGAGACGCTAGCGGCAGATCCTCCTCCTGAAAGTGGAACTGATGAGTATTTCAGCCGGGGGACTGTGCCCCGCAGCACCTCGATTGAGCACCTTTCAGACTTAAATGAGCAGCTGTTGGATGGGGAACATCCCATGACTGGAAGCGAGAGTGAATCAAGTTCCAGACCGTATGGGGACAATGAGTGCGACACCTCTTGCTACAGCACATCCTGCTACAGTACGTCCTGCTACAGTACGTCTTGCTACAGCACGTCCTGCTACAGCCCGTCCTGTTACGACAGTAACAATCGCTTTTCCAGCCATACCCGTTTCTCCTCTGTTGACAGTGCAAAGATTTCTGAGAGCACGGTCTTTTCCTCACAGGATGATGAGGAAGAGGAAAACAGTGCCTTTGAGTCAGTGCCAGATTCAGTGCAAAGCCCTGAACTGGACAGGGAGCAAGTGGATGTCTCCGCCCAGTGGCCAGATGAACTCGTAGCTCATGGTGGGAATCCACAAAGAGCAACAGAAACTCTAGAGTCCCCAGTAGCAGGTCCGAGCAACAGAAGAGAAGGTTAGATTCTGAGATTCAATATGCAGAACAACCTTGATTATCTGGATGTCAGCAGAGGCATTAGATAATCGAAGTTGCAGATAAAAAAGGAATTCTCAGTATTATTAATAAATATATGGGAGACGTGACCTGTATTAGGTATTGGGGGGGTTGGATAATTGAGGCTGTGCTGAAAAAAACAAATCAGAGATCAGCATTTCTATCGTCAGTTTCTGTTAAATAGTATAATAATAAATCAAGCATCTTACACATCAGGTCAAAATTAGGATCACCAGTTCTACCAGTCTGACCCTTCTTCCAAGGGATTTTTCAGTGTTACATATCTTGTGTGCTACCGTGTGTCTTACAAGTGACAAGAAGATCTGTGTGTGTTTATGAAGGGGCAGATCCTGAACTGGTGTAAATCAACTGATTTACAGCAACTGAGGATCTGGCCCAATATGTGTGTGTATGTAATATATATACAATCCATACACACAGAGAGTATATTATGGAGAAGTCCTAGTATTTTCTAGTTTAGGTTGAGTCCACTTTCTGTTATAAACCCAATTTACTAACCTTGTCCCCCTACATTCACCCAAATCAACCTCAGATTTCACTTGCGACAGATCGTATTTCCTTGGATGCATAACTATCAAATACAGTTCCTATCACCACATGTCTCTGTAGGTATACTGCATATAGAGATATATTGTTGTCTGTTTATGCTGTCATCATAGTTGTTTAGTTCTTTTTATTCTTGGACACTTCAATTCCTTGTGTTCAGTTCCTCCCTGGCGTCACTCAGTTTACTCCAGTGAGTTCAATCACTTGTCTTTTCTTCAGCTTGTGTACTGGTTATTTGAGACTGAAGAAGTACAGGTTCAGATGCTTGGCTACAGCCACAGAGTGTGCAGGAAAGGGGAAAAGAGGGGTTGTAAAGGTAGTCCTTGGGTCCCCCAATCTTGTGCTAGAATGTTCCTCCAGCCTGAGTTACACTAGCTGCTCACCATGGCTGCACGAGGGATCACCGGCCCCAGCCATACCATCCTTCCCCCAGCCACATCCCCTACTCCAACAGAAATAGCAGCGGTGCATGAGTCACTGTGCCACCAGAGGATCTCCCTACCCTGGCATGGTCCTGGATATGCCAGTTTTGGGCCTCCTTCCAAACATTTATGTACTGCATACCCTTAATTATTTGCTCTGTAGTGCAGGATCTAGTCCAAAGAATCAAAATTCCCAGAACTACACAGCAACAGAGATGAGAGAAACACTCAGTAACATGGGCACTCTTCACTGTACATGAGGCTCTTTTGGTATAGACAGTATTCGTGTGTGTGTGTGTGCAGAAGGGTGCACGTGTGGCTTTTTTATTTGTTTTGTGGTGTGTGTACATACAGAGAAAGAGAACAGAGTTTGTGCCCTCATAAAAATGGATTCAGCAGTACTCTGATATTAAGCTTCAGATTTCTGGAGATGTCCCTTGAGTATATTTAAAGGGCACTGTAGAATGTTCACTGTGGCTTTACTTTTGCTAGTAGAGAGAGAATACAAGAGAAGGACAGCATTACTGGTTAGTTCACCATGTTCTTCTAATATTGTGTGAGATGTTTCAATAGTTGATCACATTGTTTAATTTATTTGGTGGTTATTAAAAGTACAGTAGATATGGTCGCCTTCATCTGCTCCAGGTGACTGACACCCCATGCTTCAGCTGGCTTGACGTAACTAACTTGACTAGGGGGAGTCAATTATGGTGAGGTAAGTAAAGAAATGCAGATTGATAATCTAGGCAATTGGTGACAACTGTAGCAACAGGAAAATTTAACCATTATTACAGATGTGTTTGCAGCACTGCATAGTAATTTAAAATAATTCTACTTTGTATTCAAAGAGGGGGGACATGTAACTGTGAGATGTGTCTATACACTTATTAGAGGCTTTAATGAAGACATTTCAGAGGGGTGTGATATCATCAGAGCACCCAGGTGCGTGTGTAACTTTACCTACATTTTGTCCAGGTAATTTTTTTCATTAGTGAATGGTGCAAGTTTTTTTGTTTTGTTTTTTTTACAAAAAAAAGTGTATTAAATTCACATATAAAATTCCCTTCTGCCTTTCCATGTAACATTTATATTCTACATATTGGCAGTTTAAGGGGGAATATATTTTAGATAACTTTTTTTAATTTATACTTAGATGGCAAGATATAGCTCGTTTTTATAGAGTGGTAAGATTTAGACATGAAAGGTGGCTAAACCAATCAACATTATTTTTATGGTTCTGTCCTGTTTTTCTTTTTTTAAATACAGTGGTATAATTTTCTGGCAATATCACAAGCATTAAAGACCACTTTGTTTCTAAGCTTACCTTGGATTTTAACTGTATCTGTTTTATACCCATGGTAAATTATTTATGCTTTCTGGAGTTGAAGGTTTCAGTAGGAAAACTATTGTCACGCAGCTTGAAAAAGTGACCAGCAGTGGGAAACAGTATATAATTCTCAAAAAGAAAAGGAGTACTTGTGGCACCTTAGAGACTAACCAATTTATTTGAGCATAAGCTTTCATGAGCTACAAAGATTTTAAGAAAGGACTGGGGCAAATATTCTCTGAATTCTAGTACCCATGAAGTGCAAAAGTATGGGTTCCAAGTGCTCACATTCAGTTCTAACATAAGGAATAATGTGTCCTCCACACAATAAGGTTGTAGTTCCTGAAAGGATTCTAGTGACGTCACAAATGCTGAGTAATTTATTCACATCACCAGGACACCAGGATGGATATATGTACAGTTTTCATTTGGATGTATGTATATAGGTACATATTTGATATAATACAGTGTTCAAAAAATCTTCCTCTGCCTCATCTACAGTATCTCTCAGCCTCTTCTTCTCTTTCTGTACTTCAGGTCTCCCCCCTCTTTATCTCAGGTTCCTTCTTTCCTGTGTCTTCTTATCTTTTGCTCCCCTCACCCCACCTCTCTCCTATGTTTTTGGTCCTTCTCTCACTCTCCCCACCTTCCACTCAAACTTGACAGTTTGAATTTTGAACTGTTTATATTCTAGTTTCCATGACTTTAAAAGTACAGCAGATGCATGCCTTCTGCATTGCAGGGACTGCAAAATCCTGCCACACCACTTCACATACACTCTTGTGGATTTGCTCTAAAGGAGGCTTTTGCAATAGCAAAGAAAGTAGCTCTCGGCATTTAGCTGGAGTGAATGCAAGGTTGGAGCTGGGATTTTTGTATGGTCCTTCCAAGTTCCTGCAGGAACTCCCAAAACCCTGCACTTGGTAGCATTTATGAAGTACTTCTCAGACATCAATCCTGATTCTCCTCACTTACATTGGTGTAAATCTAGAATAAATGAGTCCAGAATCTATCCCATCATTTCTTATTATGTGCTCAAGCCCAAGATCGGATCCTTGTCTGCATTATTTTAATAATTCTTTGCCATGTAAGTTAGTAAAACCATGCCTGGACATATGAATAAGCCATAGCAGCTAATACACCAGGTGGTTGTCTGCCCTGTTTTTTTGGTTGGTTTGTTTGTTTTTGTTGGGTTTTTTTTTTCAGTTCTTTTAGTAACTTGTTTTACAGTAGTGCATTTTAAACCACTTTTTGCCAAAACACTGAATGAATATGAATATCTTGAATATCTTGTCCATAGGTGATTGTCCTTTACTCCATAATTCTCAGCCAGTCAGCCAGCTTCCTTCCCTGAGGCCTGACCACCATCACTATCCAACTATTGATGAGCCTCTTCCACCAAGTAAGCTTTAGTTTTTTAAATGTATTATTTTTTTCAACCTTTCCTGTTAACCTAAAACAGTGTACAGGTCAGTATGTCTCTAAATAATCTCCTCATCCCCTGCATCCACCTTGTTCCAAACCCACTTAATGTGCCCTTTTATTTTCCTTATTTGGTCCTTACTGTAGGTGTCACCATGTCATCTTGGGCAAGACACACAACTGCTCTATGCCTCAGTTTCCCCATCTATACAATGGGGATAATAACACTTCAGTGTCTCAGAGGAGTGTTGTGAGGTGGTAAAAGTGTTTTGAGCTCCTCCAATGAAAGGCTGTGTGTATTGTAAGGGCAAAGTAGTCTTATTGTCTTTAATGTTTGTCCTCTAGCCTAATCGTTGCATCCCTGTGGCACATTATGGGTATGTCTACACAGAGTCTCAGAGCCCAGGTCAAGTGTGGTGGGCTTGCGGAGCTCATGCTGTGGGGCTAAAAGTAGTAATGTAGACAACTGGGTTCAAGCTGTAACCCTGCAAGCCTGAATCAATTGACCTGGGCTCTGAGTCTTACTGCCATGGGTAATTTTTTGCTGTGTAGACATACCCTGTGTCAGCTTCAAAGACAGCTTGGGATGCTGTCTTGTCCTTGCAGCCTTGCTTGCAATGCCAGGAATTCTCAAAATCAGGATTCTCTTTTGAAAAATTGAGACAGGTAGCAATTCTTAATCAGAGTGATAAGAGGAGAAGACAGGGACAAGGTAGGTCACATTCTAGTGATGTCACATTTCAATTGCAGTGCCCCCTCTAAAGGTTAATGTGAGGGTCTCTGCTCTGAAGCAGAGTGACTGATGTATGGACCTACAGCTCTCTCTATCCGAATGTTTTTGTGCTTCCATATAAGAGCACTTCTGCACTTTACTGGGGAGGATTTCATAGCTTTTAACTTTTTGCATTAGCGTTATTTGTCCAGTAGAGCGCACTCTCTGCCCTACAACACATAGTGTATCATCTTTCGAGTTTAGCACATGATTTAACAGGAAAAAATGCTCAGCATCTTGAAAACTAACCAGGCTTAAAAACAAATCTATTTTCTTCTGAGGCTGAGTAAAGAATGTAGCTATTTGGCCTATGGTGTCCTTAATTAAAAAAAATCATTTATGCACCAAGTTGTTAGTATTTCCTAAACTGAAAATTCCACTCGATGCTGGCATCAGTTATAAAGTAGTGGTGAATGATCCAACTGCCTTCAGCCCCATGAAGTCTTATTAGGGGCACTGTGTGGCCTACCAGTGAATGATGAATTAGGAACAATTACATCTGTAATAAGTAAATATTTCTCTTCCCCCTAATCTTACCTCACCACTTTGTGAAGGGGAGAAATTTCCAGCTACACTACCTATTAATAGGACACTGACAGCAGCCATGCAAATGAAATTTACTCTAATCCGTGCACTGATCGGAGACATTCAAGTTCAGCCCTATGGCTTGATTAATACATTCCACCTCCCTTTTAACACCAGCCTCAAAAGGTAAGTAGTTGCTCCTAAAGAAGGCAATTATGATGGAGTTTAATCTACACAAAAGCAAAAGTACAATCATCTGATAGTAATATTTATTTAATAATGCACCCATTATTTTGATATCTACACTATATCCTACTTGTAATACATGTAAAGTATTTTGTCCCTGAATATATCCCTCTTCAGTGTGCAGTTGCCACATGAATTTTTGGTAAAGAAATTGAATTAAATAATTCCTCAGTTAATATCCATGCAATTCCCAGTACAATCTATGACATTTTTAAAGCCCATGAGAAGTACAAACTGAGGTCTGATCTGAAGATTTTTCTTTTTCTAGTGTTGCAGAAAGACCCTTTTCCCTTGCTTACCACAACTAAATCACTCTTAAATATGAGAGAGAGAGAGAGAGAGAGAGAGACGTGGCAGAGGCAGCTCCAGCCAGGCCAACATGCCATGTTCGGAGGGCAAATTCCACGCCTGCCCGAGACACGCAGTTTGGGGGAGGGACAATGCCCCTCATACTCCTCCCAAACCACACCCATGGAGAGAGATTATTCATTTTGATCAGGTTTACAGTGAACAATGTTGAGAGCTTCTAAAAGGAGGAGACGCCAGAATCTGTCCATAGTTATGGTTGAAGATCATTTCCCATCATTACAAGAACAATATCGACTGAACCTTAACATTCCCATAGCCAAATCCATGTGCCTGAAATCACATGCCAGATTTTAGCTCATGGTAGAATATTTTGTGAGGTTTCAGGAAAATCAGTTAAAGGCTTTTGGGAGACATGTAGATTCAAAAAGTGAGGTGGTTTTCCTCTTGTAGTCAGTCTTGCTTGATCATAGCACCAAAACAATTTGACTTCAAAATTTAGTTTATTCTGTTAGTCCTGATGAGAACTTTTTCTTTGACTGAGCTGCACCACTTAGAAGATCTACCACAGACAGGGATGTAAAGAGTAGCAAGGTGACTTTGTCCCTCCGGGGTTGTGGGTCTGCCAGGGACAGGTTTGGCTCATGGTGTAAGTAAGAGCAGCCTCAGAGGCTGCTGTAATGTACATAGGGCTGCAGTGGTCCCAAAGGGCCATCTGGCAGCCCAGGATAATTGGAGTGCAGAGCAAGGTGACCTCACCGTCTCCTGATCCCAGGCTATCTCCTGGTGTGCCCCTGCTCTGAAGTTATAAGGTGTAGGGCCATAATGTCAGCCCTATACTGCCCAGAGAAACCCTCTGCTAAGGGGTAATTCCCACATGTGGTGATCTGGCTGGTTTTTGGACCCTTTATATCATTGGAGCAACATAAAGGGGCTGGGACGGAGCTCAAAATCATGGCCTCTGTCTATTTGTCAGTCTATGCATTTATCTGTGCAGCCATCCATTCATCTTACCACAAATTCTGTGTTGTATGCCATTTGAATTACTTACTCCCCTGTGTGATGGTAATGCTGCGTGGGAGGGAAATAAATGCCCATCAACCAACTGTGAGTTTTGTTTATATGTTGGCAAGGAATAGTCACATCAGCGCACACAACTCTCTCAGGCCAGATGCTGTAGCACAAGGCTCTGACCCGTGCCCTACAAGACAATGACGTCCCGCAGATATATTCTCATACACTCTCCTTGAACTTTCACTGTGTCTCCTTTATCCTGACCTGATGTTTCCACTGTGACCTGAAGCACTGGACACATCCAGCTGCTGCTAGGTTTGACTGGATGCTTTCTGCTCAGAGGCTGGATTACCATTGTAGACACATTGTAACATGCTTTCTTCAGGCAGTGTGACATTCGGTTTGGTTTGTGGGTAACACCTACCTTAATGCATTCTGTGTAACATTGTTTTTGCTGAGGTGTGAATGTATGTGTGGTTGGCGTTAGCAGGAGTACAGAATGTGAACTGATATGTCTCAAGGAGATATTAACTGTTATCTGGGAATTTAGGGTTCTTCAACAGGCCCTGACTGACCAACGTCCTTCAAGAGTCCCTATAGGCTGGTTTCAATGGAGGATACATCATTGCCTAGGGTTTACGGATTATACACAGAGTCATGATTTTGTTCAGATTGTTATCTGGGTGCTCCAATCTGGAGTGTTGGGTGCTGGTTAGCCTTTGCCCAGACCCCCACTCAGGTACCCACATGGATAACAAAGGTATTTTTAATAACATTATAAGGCATGGCACCTTAGCTCTGGCCAGCACCGTCTATCTCCTTACTAATCAGGCACAGTGTTTGGGGGAAGGTAGCTGGTTGCAGGGAGTTGGATTCCAGATGCAGTAGGAGGAAACACAGCTCTCTGTTGCTTTTGGAGGGTATGAGGGAAGGTTCACAAAGAACCCAGAACCCCTGGTCCTAAGGTGGAACACAGAGCCACAGAGGGAAAAAAGTGGACTTTACCACTCTTGGGGGTACAGATGTGCTCCAGGAGGGGGAATATATATTACTGTACAGCTATGTCATCAGCTGATGGATCTTTGTGTAACAATAGTGTAGTTAGCAGATCAAATTTGTGCAACTTCACTCAAAAAATTCTAAGGTTTTTTATGTAGAATTTGATTAGCTCATTCACTTCTTAAATTTCCTCTTATTCCTAACACCTTTACCAGTGCTCTTGATGCTTTTAACTACCAGTGTATTTCATGCAAGCCAACAAGCAGCCATCAGATGGGTATGGGCTTTTGGTTACACTTCTGGTCAACTTGGACGTAATTTTAACAAGAGACGTGAGGGTGGAAGGCTCAGTATCTTGTTACCAATTTCCTCAGCTATCTGGTCCTTATTAGAGTGGTAGATTTAAAAAATAAAAAATGTATGTCCAACCAGTCTGTGATGAGTTTTAGGTAGAGGGCCTTACGCTGCTCTGAGTAATCCTTCTGAAAGCTTAAAAAAAAACCCCACTATCAAGTTTATTCTGAAACATAACAAAAAAAGTGAACATAGGACTTGCCACACCAGATTAAATCACTGGTCCACCAAGCCTAGCATCCTGGCTACCAGTAGCCAATTCCTTATGGTTTTCCCATCTACTATGAAAAGAGCCAGTTGTGCAATGCTGTATGTAAGAGTTACATGGGGAAATTTTTATGTTCTAAAGCATGTAATTTGATTACTCACCTCAAGAAGCAGAACTATAAGAGGCATTAATGGTTATAGAATTATCCAGTCCCTTTTAAAAATAGTCACTGTGTCTCACTCATTATTGATGGCCTGTGGCAATGAATTCCACAGGGTGACTGTAGGCTCTGTGTGAAGTAATATTTATGTATTTATGTATACTACACATACAACAAACCTGTGGAACTTACTGCTGTGGCCAAAAATATAAACGGGTTCAAAAAAAGAACGGGACGGAGGATACCTCCTTCAACGGCTATTAGTCTAGCCATGATGGTCAGGGATGCGACCCCGTGCTCGGACAACCCTACACTTCTGACTATCATAAGCTGGGAGTGGAAGACATGGTATATCACTCCTTAATTGCTCTGTTCTGTACACTCCCCTGCAGTTCTGGTACTGGACACTGTTCGAGACAGGATACTGGGCAAGATGGACCATTGGTCTGACCCAGTTTGCCAGCTCAGATGTTCGTGTGTATGTATGTACACATGTATCTCATGAGCATCTAGGCTTTCTGAAATTTCTCAAACTGATGGCTTTCTTTTTTAATACTAGACTGGGAAGCTCGGATAGACAGCCATGGAAGGGTATTTTATGTGGATCATGTGAATCGAACCACAACATGGCAGCGCCCCACAGCAGCAGCCACTCCAGACGGAATACGCAGATCTGGTTCAATCCAACAAATGGAGCAGCTCAATCGGCGGTGAGTAATTCTGGACTGAAATTCCAAACCACCACCACAACGAAAATGTTCTAGTTAAGAGAAATGGTACTCATGTTATTCCAAACCAGCATCTGAAATGTTCCTGAAATGACTAAAACGTTCAACATAAATAAGCTATGAGATATATTTGAAGGTACAATGTTGAATAACAATTAGCAGGTCAGAACCTACTGCTGGTGCATGGTTAGCATCTTGCTTTCAAAAAGGTGACATTTTTAGCACTGGCAATTTGGGAGCCCAAAATAAATTGAAACAGTTTTCAGTGCTACTTTCAGGCTGGCTTTACAATGATAAAACACTGTACTTTTTAATTAGTGGCCATAAGTCCATAAGGTACTTAACAACAGGAGGTGGTGTTTAAAAATAGCAAAGTGCCTGACCAAACAGATTACAGTCTAAAGACGCAAAGTGAACATAGTACATTGCACAGAGTGACGTTCTCAGTCCTCATCCTCAAAGGAAACCTCTACAACACCTTCAAAAGACAAGCCTGGGAACTTAAATACATACATCCATGTTTTTTAGTGTCCAGCAGAGTTAACAGAGACACTAGTTTTATGGCCCATTGCAACAACGTGTAACACACCCTGCTGCCTACTAATGCTCCTTTTTCCTAGGACTGCTGAAGTTTTAATTGCCCACTTCATTTTAAGTGGTCTCCTACAATGTGTGTGAGCCCCTTATACTTAACCATCTGTCCCACCTTGTATTTCGCTTGGGCACTCTAGTTTCTTTCTCCACACCTGAAGAAAAGGAGCTCTGTGAAGTGCAAAAGCTTGTCCCTTCCTCCAACAAAAGTTGGTCTAATAATGGTTTCCCTTCACTTTTCCTCCCACCACTTATGGGAAGGATCAGTCCAGGTGAGGGTGGGAAGGCAGGATCCTTCAGAGCTTCAGTGTTACCTATGAGAACAGAGAGGACAGATGGTCTGGATGAGAATATGAAGAGAAGTCAAGCAATCAGGCTTTGAGTTCAGGCTTCAGCCCCACAGCTTTGAGGTGCGTCAGCATCCAGACCTCCACTCTGCTCCTCCGGCTGCTACACCTATACACCTACCCCAGTCTTATGGGAGCTATTCAGAGATGAGGTCAGGAAAGCAACAGCTCTAGTTGCTGAGAGCCTTCCTTTGTAATTTTTCCTCCACCAGTGATGCAGGCTGAATGTTATGGATGGTCATACAGTTGGAATTATGTCCCCACTATAGAGCACTAGTGGTTCCCAAGTGCGGCCAGGTCCATGGATTGCGAAGCACCAACATGTAGCTGTTGACATCAGCAAGGTTGACAAGCTGTGACACAGCATGAATGAGATATTTGTTTGAAATAATGAGTGCTAAGGAGTATCCCACTGAAAGACATTTCAAAGCCCTTTGCACAGCTGGAGGAAACCAGAAACACTTCCTTAAAATGAATCCTGAGAGAGGGAGTCTCCCTCCAAATGAGGGAACTTTATCACTGATAGCAATGTCTGTTCAACTACTACTCTACACACACAGATTTGTTACAGTTTCCTTTGTTTCTTTGCATTTCAGATTGAATGGAGGGGAGAAGAGTAAAAGAAATAAATAGCTGGGCAATAAACTTCCACTATTACCTCAGAAAACATTTTCTTATCCTCTGCCCCTGCTTACTGTAATGATATAGTTTCTTATTTAAATAAGCAAGACTGAAATTGTTATCCTCTGATTATAGGCTTTAAAATGGCATGAAGGTTGGTTTGGGTTTTTCTAGTACTTTAAAAACATCATTTGGGGATCATCAGAGTGCCAAGCTAGGAGACAGAGGGAGCTTCAATGGTGCTTCTTTCCATGGCAGGAAAATAATATGGGAGTTACTCAGATCCTTTGTAGGGAGAAAATGGTTGCAGATGACAGCCATCAGGGAGTTTTTCTAAGGGCTAACTAGCTTTCTGAAAATGTCTGTTGTGCAAAACAGATCATAACCACAAACAGGTCCATGAGGAATTGTCCTCCTCTTCTCTCCAAACCTATCATGCTGGGCACAGAGTGGGCATTTGACTAGCATATGTAGTTTTGTTTATAGTGGTAAGAACTTGCAATAGTTTGTTTTAATTATAATTTTCCTCAGAAGGTGCCAAGCTACCATATTAAAGAAAAAAGACAGGCATTTCTGGAAACCCCTTGCAGTGAATTGGATAGATGTTGTCCGCAGCCATTAAGGGCCTGTGTAAATTATCGTTTTTTGTTGTGCTGTAACTTGAGTTAATTGATTACCAATTAAGCTGAGCTAATGAATACTATCATAAATTTATTGTAGACAGTCACCATTTGTTCCATGAGGTTCAACTCTCTTGGGTGAGCCACAAACAACCAGAACAAACGTTGGTGAGTGTCTAAACTAGAAATGACAATTGTGTTAGCTAGCTCAGATTAATTGGCAATACCCTTAGGCCATATCTACACTTACAGCTGTGCCGCTGTAAGAGCACTTGTGTAACTGTTATGTTGATGGGAGAGAGCTCTCCTGTCAACATAATAAAACCAGCTCAATGAGTGGCGGTAGCTGTGGTGGTGGGAGACCGTCTTCCGCCGACATAGCGCCATGCACGCGAACGCTTATGCTGGCAAAACTTATGTTTTTTCACACCCCTGAGCAGCAAAAGTTTTGCCAATATAAGTGCTAGTTTAGACATGGCCTAAGTCAGTGGCTCTCAACCTTTCCAGACTACTGTACCCCTTTCAGGAGTCTGATTTGTCTTGTGTACCCCCAAGTTACACCTCACTTTAAAACTACTTGCTTACAAAACCAGACATAAAAATACAAAAGTGTCACAGCACACCATTACTGAACAATTGCTTACTTTCTCATTTTTTACTGTATAATTATAAAATAAAACAATTGGAATATAAATATAGTACTTACATTTCAGTGTATAGTATGTAGAGCAGTATAAACATTTCATTGTATGAAATTGTACTTTGTACTGACTTTGCTAGTGCCTTTTAAGTAGCCTGTTGTAAAACTAGGCAAATATCTAGATGAATTGATGTACCCCTTGGGAGACCTCTGCATACCCAAGAGGTACATGTTCCCCTGGTTGAGAACCACTGAAGTGACATCCTTGGTTTACATTTTAGTTTTCCATGTTTTCGTATAGTTTGGTTCCTTTCTTGCCACCCATGTTTGGATTAGGATTTGATCATTAATGATTTCATACACTGCAATTAAGCCAATAATACCTTTGCTGCTCATCTGTATATGGGTATTTTTAGCATTTAGGATATATAGTGAGAAGTGGAGGGGATTTTCATTAGTAGCATATTTCTCCTCACTTGATTCCCAGTGGAGACTAAGCACATTACAACTGAGTAATTGTGGAATCCCATGGTTTCTTAGCACAAAAAAGCCATCTGGTAATTCTTTAATCTCTGCTGTAAAAGAGCCCCATTAAGTAAAAATGCTGAATAGACCACCAAGTCTTTAGGAGGCTTCTCTTGTCATGACAATGTTTGTATATGTGTAGCCATGGATATTTCCAAAAATTCCAGCAAAAGGGATACAAATTGGCCATTGCAACAAACTTCACCAATCTGTGTATTTCAGAAGTGGGAAGCAATTTTTATATTTTATGGCTGGGTGAAATAGAGAAATTATCTCTGTCCTGAAACAGGTTTCAAGATTAGCTCATTCAAAAAATTCAGGTAACTTGGATTACCAGCTTGTGAGAAAAACCTTTTCTTAAGCTGTTGTTGAAAACCACTACTTAGGCTTGAATATTATTTTCAACAACCATTTAAAAAAAGTTTTGTTATTGTAGGTCAAACCTCATTGCCTGGAACAGTTTTTGGTAACTCTGCTTGAAAATCCTTTCGCGTTGAAGTAACTGTATACAAAGAGCCTGGATGACAGAATTAAAGTCAGCCTGAACTTTAGCCCCAAACTCAAACAAAATGGAACCCCAAACCTTTTGAGGTTTGAAAAAAAGCTCAGTCTGCTTTCTTTCCACACAAATCTGTTCACCTTCCCACTTCCTAGATTCATCTTGGAGAAGGAGTGGAAATACCAAATATCACTAGGAAAGCTTGCTATTTTCAGCCCTGCCAAAACCACAAAGTATTGGAAATCTAGTTTTTAAAAGGAATGCCTGTGAGTATTCTGTTCCAAGGGCCTAATCCTTCATTCTCTGGGTACTCAGAGATTCCCAATGACTTTATTGGACATTTTGCAGGATTGGGACCTAAAGTCTGGACAAGATCTAGACAAACACCCCTATATTTCTTTATTAGAAGAGTCTTCCTCCTTTACTACAGCACTTCTTGCCTTTCCTCCAGTTACTGAAGCAGTTAACAGCCACCGCTGTTCAAATTACATGGCATGGTTAACAGTCCACTGTGATCTGGTTAAACTGTGCAGCATTTGTGTAACTAGACTTGTCTTTACATGAATAATAATAATAAATTACACACTAGATAATAGTACAGTAAAAACAGCCTCTATTGTGGTTTTTCTAAACCACTCTTTCTTTGACAAATCACTTTGAAAAGGGACCGATTTTCAAATGCATTCCCATAACTTGTGCCCTTTCAAAGTTGTTGTTTTGTTTTTTTAAACACAATTACATGGGCATTTTCTGGTATTTATATAAGACAATTTTACAATATCTAGACCCTCAAAAAAAAGCCTGTTTTTGGCATACAGCTAGCATTACTGTGTAAAGTTTGCCAGCAGGGGATTTTCTAACATCTAATTAAATTGAAGCTACAGTTACCATATATATAAAACTTTTGACTATATTAACTACTTTTTTCTTCTCTACTGTTGCATAAGGGTGTTGTAAAACTCCTACAGTATTGGAGTGGAAAGTTTACTCAATTAGCCTACATTCAAGTGAATAAAAATTTTAAAAGCTTCTTATAAAGTAGGAGGGAAAAAGTAGAGGTAAATTAATGTAATTGTGAAATCTACTATAATAATTTGCTTATAAGGTATATGTTTATCTAAAAACAAAAATCCCCAATTCTCTTACTTTTTAACCAATTCTAAATGTTATTTATTGAGCTATTAAAAGCTACATTAAAGGAAAACTTGGAATACTGAGAGAAATGAAAACTACTGTGTTAGTCAAGTATAAATCCATTAAATTTTCACCCATTTTCCATAATTTAGCCTAAACTCGAGTAACTTGTTGAGAGTTAATATGCTGTTAGAGATGCTGTCTTTTGAATGGGATGTAAAACCAAGGTCCAGACTACTTGTCTTCAGAGATGTCATGGCACTTTGAAGACATTAACCCCTTGAGTTCAGGCCAAAAAATCCAACTTGGCATAAATGCATATTTAAAAAAAACAAACAGAAAAAAAAAAGAGAAAAATGGAGGGATACTCTTCATAAGTCTGGAGTCATACAGATGAAAGAAAGAAGAACAGAAACTAGGAAAAAAAGAGAGACAAAGAACCTTGGGCCAAAGATCAGATAGAATCAATGAAGCTACATGGATTTATGCCAGGTGGGGATCTGGCCCATTATGAATGCTGAGAGCTAATGAAAATGAGACAACAAAAAGTGTTTAAAAATATCAGAGTGCGGCAGAAGCTAGTTAAAATGATTAAGATAGATATCTATTATTTTTAAAAATATTTCTCATTAAATAATTTAAAATTTGTCACATTCTTGACATACATTATCAGAATCCCAGGCTGGGGCCTGGTCATGAACATAAAGGTTAGAAGCTATGGAGGTTCTCTCACCCCTAGTCTATCAAATGTTCAATGAATGAGTCACCAGTATGGCTACAGCAGGATTGACTTCCCACATTATTTATCTCTGTTTTATAATATATAGAATTAGTACTGTATACTGCATATTTTAAACATAAACACATAAAAGAGAACATCCTTTATGGGACTCAAACCTGCAATGTCATTAACACTCTGGCCCTGATCCAGCAAAGTATTTAAGCACCTGCTTAACTTTAAGCCCAAGAGTAGTCTCACTGAAGTCAAACATGAAATTGCCATAACAGAGAAAAAGGTTTTAAAAGCTTCAGTCCACACCTGCCTCTTCTATCGTCCTCCTTGTTTCCCTCCTTGTTCTCACCGGCTCTGTCCCAGTGCTTAATTTGTAATGAAAGATGCCAGGGCTCAAGCAATTTTTTTACATTCATAACTGATGCAGCAAGCCCAGAGGGCTATGAACTGCCAAGCCCAGAGGTGCCAGGGCTCAGTCCTGGCAAACCCTGGCACAAATTAAACACTGCTCTGTCCCCTCCAACCCTTTCCCTTCAGCTTATCATCACCAAATTCAATCCATACACACACGAAAAAAAAGCATGGAACTAACAGGACATGTCCTGCCCTTATGTTGTTCACTCTACTAGTGTGTTACACCACTTTCCTCTTCCCTGTGTCTGTTTTATCTAATAGATTGTCAGCTCTTCGGGGCAGAGATTGTGCATTATTCTGGGTTTGTACAGTGCCTAGCACAATGAGCCTGTTCTCGGCTGGTCCCTATGCACTACCACAACAAACATGACTAATAATAATGATTAGTAAAAAAAGAAGAAGAATGGTTATGGAGCCAAGGCTGTGAAGTGTTGAACACATTGAGCATACTGCCATTGCAATTGTTGGGAGTTGAGGACACTCAGCACCTCAGAGGATCAGGCCCTGTGTGATTCATTATGTTAACCTATGACAAATTGGGACTTGATTCTTCCCTGCCTTTCACCTTGTATAGTTACTGATCCCTGTGGAATGTGGGTGATTTACACAGGTGCAAGACAGGGAAGACTCAGGCCCATTGGTGCTTTAAAAGTACATGCAGATTTTAGCAATATTTTAATTGTTCAAAAGTATTGATTTTTCCAACTCATTAAGAAAGAGATAGAAAGGCATTTTTGTGAGCAGCAAAATGCTTTGTACCATTATTCCACTAAAACGTATAGCTAAATTACCTTTTTTCTTTCGCACAAAATATGCAGGTATCAAAATATTCAGCGGACTATTGCAACAGAGAGGCCAGAGGATGATGCTATTGTGAACAACAGAGTCGAGAGGCTCTCCATTGGAGGAGGAAGTGACTCTGAGGCAGACTCTTCCCAGCCAAACTCAGGTATGGGAGAGGAAGCTATTACCAGTATGTGGCACTAGATGGCATTCCATTCTGGGAAACAAGAGGGACACACAACAGTGCCCTGATGAAGACTCAGGCTTCAGTACTTTACAGCAGAAATGGCTAAGTGAAAGAAAAGAGTATAGAGCATGAATAGACCCTGAGAAGGAAATAAGCAAGTGTTAGGGGGCTCTTTTAATGAGTCCTTACTTAGACAAAGTGTTTTTACAATAGATTGGGTTTGAATGTTCACATATTATACAGGCAAATGGAGAAAGTGCCTATTTTCTCAAGCTTGCAGTTACAGTAGCTACACTGTTTCATTTTGGTGATAGTATGATTGTGACACAATGGGGGTTGTCAAGTTCCTTCCCCACACTGAACTCTAGGGTACAGATGTGGGGACAGGCATGAAAACCTCCTAAGCTTATTTTTACCATCTTAGGTTAAAACTTCCCCCAGGTACAAACTATTTTCCTTTTTCTCTTGGACTTTATTGCTGTCACCACCAAGCGTCTAACAGATATATAACTGGGAAAGAGCCCGCTTGGAAACGTCTTTCCCCCCAAAATCCTCCCCAAACCCAACACCCCCTTTCCTGGGGAAGGCTTGATAAAAATCCTCACCAATTTACATAGGTGAACACAGACCCAAACCCTTGGATCTTAAGAACAATGAAAAAAGCAATCAGGTTCTTAAAAGAAGAATTTTAATAGAAGAAAAAGTGAAAGAATCACCTCTGTAAAATCAGGATGGTAAATACCTTACAGGGTAATCAGATTCAAAACATAGAGAATCCCTCTAGGCAAAACCTTAAGTTATAAAAAGACACAAAAACAGGAATATCCATTCCATTCAGCACAGCTTATTTTCTCAGCCATTTAAACCAACAGAATCTAACGCATATCTAGCTAGATTACTAACTAAGTTCAAAGACTCCATTACTTTCTGTTCCCAGCAAATGCATCACACACACAGACAGAGAGCGAGAGACTTTGTTTCTCCCTCCCTCCAGCTTTTGAAAGTATCTTGTCTTCTCATTGGTCATTTTGGTCCGGTGCCAGCGAGGTTATCCTAGCTTCTTAACCCTTTACAGGTGAAAGGGTTTTTTCCTCTGGCCAGGAGGGATTTTAAAGGTGTTTACCCTTCCCTTTATATTTATGACAGGGGTTCATCCAGATCAGCCAGGGTTGTGTTACTGCCGACCTGTAACCTTGGGGGCATCTGTGTAGGTTTGACTCACGCCCCGACACAAGCAGTCTGCTCACAGCACAATTATCTTACCCTGGCTCCCACCAGCATGGTTACTCCTTGCAGGGTGTCATCAACAGTCCCTCGTCTCCTCAAATTTAAAACCATCTCCCCTGCAGTGTCCAGTTCCTCTCACTGGACCTTCACAGAAGTTATTGCATTTGCTGCCTTCAAACAGACAGCGCGCTCATCAGCTTGTTAGTTTGGCTGAGGACCCATACTTCATATTAATGCACTGCACTGATATGGTTCTGTAATAAGATAAGAATAAGTTTATTAACAAAGAAGATAGATTTAAATGATCTCAAGTAAGAATGAAAGAGAGGAAAGATTACAAACAAAACATGCCTTCTCATGACTAAAACTTAATTCTAGCAATTTGCAGTCTTGGTCTAGACAAGGTGGGGGAGGTAATATCTCTTATTGGACCAATTTCTGATGGTGAGAGAGACAAGCTTTTGAGCCACACAGAGCTCTCAAAAGCTTGTCTCTCTCACCATCAGAAGCTGATACAATAAAAGATACTAGCTTACCCACCTTGTCTCTTGACTATCCTGGGACTGACACGGCTACAACTGCCCTGCATACAAGCTTGGTCTAAGCTCATTTCTTACCTATAGTGACTTCAGACTTCAACCCCCATGAGTAAACTTTCTCAATTACAATAGCTCTGATCCCTTGCATCCATCCGGTGATAGCTTATTGCTTCTGCTTATATCTTCCCAAAGTTCTTTGACTCTGTTTCAAGAGGCAGAAAGGTTTCCTGGAGATGCAGCTTCCATCCTCCATGGAGATTGTTAAGTGGTTATCTCCCCGACTTGCTCGGCTAATGGATTTGTTTACCTTTCATGTAAATGTCCTTTTCGTTATGTTTGGTCACACCTTGCTTAATTTACATTGGAAACAGTCAAGCTGGAGAAACAACATTCCTTTGTCTAGAACAGGCTGGGTTTAGGCAGTGTCTGCCACGTACATTTCAGGAACACATTGCAATCACACATCTATAATTCCCTATACATCACCCATACAGACAACACAATAATATTAATAAAAAGAAAAGGAGTACTTGTGGCACCTTTTCTTTTTGCGAATACAGACTAACACGGCTGTTCCTCTGAAACCTGTCAATAATATTAATGACCAGCATGTTACCATTTTGCATATGATACCTTGCACAACACCTTTTAGATACAGATTATGATAACAGCAAGTTGGGGCAATGAGTATGTCAGGTGTGATGAGAGTTATGTACTGTGTGCCCACTTCCAGTTGGCAGTGAGGGGCTTCCTGGGTCACAGTAATTTTGATAGTATGGGCCAAATTTGAAAAGGCCATCCCTCCCGTCTGCATGCAGATCTTGTGCCCATAAAATTTTCATCCACATTTTTGCACCTGCAATTGAACTACAAGTGCAAAGCTGAGTGCTTGTGTCACTAAATGCTTGATTGCAGGTGCAAGTCATATGGGGAGAAACACAAGCACTCAGACTTGCGCCCGCACTTCACTTGGTACACATAAAAAAAATGGGTGTGTATTTAGTTAAACTTGTGCCTGCAACACGGGCAGTCAATACTCAGCCCTTCTGAAAATTCACACCTATAGCAGAGTTGCCACTTAATTATGTCTATTATTACATCTAACACCTCTTTTCCTCCTTCTCCTGTGTTTGCATTCCATTACTGGCTAGTCTTTATTAGCAGGAAATAGCCTGCATGACCTATGGTTCAATTCCTTTTATGTCTCCTGGAAGAGGAAAGCCTATTCAGAGTGAATATTTTTTAAAAAAGCATAGATTAAATAGATTTGTTAAATATTTCGTTTTGTGTATTATTAGCCTGAATCTTTTTCTTTTTCCTTTAAAATCACTATAAGTCATAACCAAACATACTTCACATGATATATAACCACTCTTGCACTCCTTTGTATTGCAATTTTTATGATTCAGTTTAACTGAACTCCTTCTAATAGTTAATTGAGATGAAAATGGTATATGATTTGTGTTCTATTACTACTAATATTACTTGTAATATTAACTTGGATACATATTTACAGTAGACTTACAGTATTACTGTTACATATATACAGTATTACTATGGTTACTTACATAATAAAATATTAAATTAATAATAATGCTGCCAGGAATCACTCACATAAAAGGTGGCTGGATTTGATTTAATATGCCTTTTCTTTCCCTTTTTTTTTAAATAAAAAAGAACCATCACCTGTGGCATGTGCCTTTTTAATGTGTCTTTGCTATATATATATTGTTTGGCTGTGGAGAGAGGAAAAAATGTAGAATTTGGTACCAACTTCTTAATTTAAAGGAAAATCTACAGGGATGCATGAGTGGCCACAAATAAAGGTGCATTGTCATATCCTTCAGGTGAAATAAATCGGTTTAACTCCATCGAAGTCAGGAGAGCTATATCACAAAGTCTTTTTTCACAGTCTTAAGTGGACAGAATGATACGGTGTAATTATAGATGGAAAAGTGACTAACAACATTATATTATGTAGTTCTGTATTCATTCTCTTGATGACTTCCACATCAGATTTGTAAGTCAAAAACTGATTTTAGTTTAAAAGCATCAGCGCTGCAAACTGAGCCTAGAGCCCAAAACCTCATGTGTGTTCTTCCCACTCTAAATTCATTAACAGTAAGAAAGGTTCCACAGTCAGAACTTAGCTGACAATATTGGACCAGATCTTCAGCTGGTGTAAGCTAGTGGGGTGACATTGATTTATAGAAGTAAATGGAGCTATGCCAGTTTATACCAGCTAAGGATGTGGCCCAGAATTTGGAACATACAATGTAGAAAGTCATCCAGCTCTCATTCCTGTAGCTGTATTTGTCCTGCAGTGCTAACCTCAGGGGAAAATTTTGTCATTCATGTGAGTAGATATGACTAAAAGATGCAAAAAAGAGTGGGTGTCATTTTTACATAGTCACTTGGATGACCACAGCCTCACTTTAAGATTAAAAAGAAGTCGAGCAATATGGTGGAGTGGGCTTTGCTGGTACTGGCAGAGGAAATAAGAATGACACTATTTGTGTTGTATTTCCTGTTATGTGTACTAGTCAATTGTTTTGCTTTTATTTTCAGAAATTAGGAGAGAAGGGTCCCTTTCTCCAGTGAATTCTCAAAAAATCACCTTGCTGCTACAGTCTCCAGCTGTAAAGTTCATCACAAACCCCGAATTCTTCACTGTGCTGCACGCAAACTATGTAAGCACCAGTATCTCACCGTCTCTCACTCCTGCCTTCTGCGTCAAAAGGAAGAGCTCTGGACCTCTTTTAAGAGTGCACAGTGGGTATTACTACACTGCAATGTAAGCCCAGGGTTCAAACTCAGGCTTCAGCCTAACCCCTTTTCCATTCACATACAAATCGCGCTAACCCAGGGCCCAAGGTGGTGGAGGGTTAAGCCTGAGTCGAGCCAGGACCCAGGGTTCAAACCCTATTGCTTTGCAGTGTAGACACAGCCACACTGGACTCATTCTCTAGGAATCCACCAAAAGTATTCCGCAATTCCATAGGCCAGCTTTCTTTGTCCTCTTGACAGTCAAGTTTGCTAAATAGTCAAGTTTTCCTACACTGCACCATGAACAAAGGGACAGAGTGGCCACACTTTCAGAGAGTGCTAGGAGGTATGGAGTATGTGTGGTTGGACTCAGACCCACATAATGCAGTGAAAATCCTGGAACCCCATGTTGGGACCCAGGGTTCAACAATTCCTAACCTAGGGTTATAAATGAGTGTAGACACTCAAGCCCAAGGTCTGCTAACTGGAATTCTACTAACCCTGGGGTTACATTGGATTGTAGACATACCCAGTGAATCCTTAATTCCCTGACTCAGAACTCAATTGTCCTTTATGGGAACTAGACCAGGTTGGATGTAGCATGCTCACACTACCCCCTAGGGAACTCTTGATGGGATTCTGCCTCAGAGAGGAATTCCCTGGCACCTCACAGGCCTGCCCCCACTACTTGTTCCCTCTCAGAAGGTGCAGCGTACTCCCCATGCATCTGGCCAGTTCTACTGCCTGGTGCAGAGGGAACTGGGGTCATAGCCCTGCCTCCTCCCCACCCATTTTTGCATCCTTCTGCTTAAGGTGTCCAGAAAGCTCTATTGGATCCCTCTTCTCTTGGCCTTGCACAGAAGCTGGAAGGCTTCTTGCGTCCTCTGCAATTTTTACACTCAAGCAGCTGGGCACAACCTAGCACTCAATGAACAGTTACAGACTAGGGATGATGCAGCTCTATTGTATAAAATAAGAACTGAACTGAACCTACCTCTAACCCAAACCAAACTTTTCAAAGGTTCAGAAAAGCATAGATAATTTCTCTTTCCCATTGTTAGAATGGGACTTCACTTCCTGCTTGCAACTGGGAATGAAAACTGACATGCAGTGAAAAAGGTTTAATTTCAGGCCAACTAGGAGCAGGAAGTCTGCAAAATCTCCCTGGGAGAAGCTGTTCTCTAGAGATTTGGATAATATTTGGTAAGATAAACATCATAACATCCCTTCTGAACCTTTTGAGGTTAATCCGTTACTAATGCTAATGGGTCTTCTCTCAAAAGGAACTGAAAGATTTTATAAGCTATCTTGAAACAAGTCTTAGTTGGTACAAGGGACAACTCACAAGATGCTCAGTCCCAACTTTGTCACAAAAGTGACTAAGACTAAGGAATGCCTACACTTCGTTTACAAAGCTGTCTTTGGTATTGGAGCCAGAATAGCCTATCAACACAGTCATACAAATTCCATTTGTGTAAAAATAGTGTACTACATAACTTTAGGCTTAAAGCCATTAAAACATTTTAACCACAAACTCCGATTAAAATTTAGAAGTGTTAATTATGCCAGTGAAATTTGAGTTGGAAAATATTATCCAGCAGTTAAAACTAAAATGGAAACACTCTTGTTTAACACATATTTTATGTCCCTAGAGGGATAAAACTATGTGAAATTCTGGGTTTCCCTAGTGCTGCTAAGTGATACTGAAATGGTCAGTTGTAGCACATTATGATATAACATCTGCTGTGCAGTATGCTATCCCAGCTTCTGACAAACAAGAGATTAGGGACACCATCCCTGCCCATCCTGGCTAATAGCCATTGATGGACCTATCCTCCATGAACTTGTCTAGTTCTTTTTTGAACCCTGTGATAGTCTACATTCACACAAACAGTACATCTCTCTGAATGTGTGATCAGTGAAATAAACACAACTGCATGTATTTCAAATGTGTGATACCCCAGAAATATGCACAGTTACCCTTGTAATCTGGCAGTTTGGTACTGTTAACTACTGTGAATAGAGGTATGGAATTTTCACTTTTCCAGGTGGCAACTGGTTATTTCTATGTGTTCACTTAGAACTTAATCCAAAGCCCATTGAAATCGATGGAAAGATTGCTGTTGATTTCAGTGGGATTTGTATCAGGCCTTAAGGTTGTATGTCATATCTGCTAGCCAAACGCATTTTTGAAACACTGGAACTGATTTCCTTATCCTGATTTCCTTATCCTAGAGTGCCTATCGAGTCTTCACTAACAGCACCTGCTTGAAGCACATGATTCTAAAGATCCGCAGAGATGCTCGGAATTTTGAGCGCTATCAGCACAATAGGGACCTGGTAAATTTTATCAACATGTTTGCTGACACCCAACTGGAACTTCCACGGGGTTGGGAGATCAAAACAGATCAACAGGGCAAGGTGAGAGCATCAACACAATTAATCACTGGGTGAATTTCCCTGTCCTGCCGATCTCACACGAGGCTAGATGATCGTGAAAGGTTTCTTGTGAACTTAAAATTTGTGACTAACTGGTTTGTATATCAGTGAGCACACAGAATTATTCCCGACAATAAAAACCTTTGTCTTAGGTTTAGCCCCTAGAAATGTCATTCTCTATGCTATCTTCTGTCATCACACAAGGACACTAAGAAGTGTGGTCTGATTCGTGCTAGCATCCAGTATTGTATAATGCTATACCAGGCATTGTTAATCTTGCACCAACCCCCGCCCCTCTCTGTCCCACACACACACTAATCAAACACTATATTTATAATATTTGACTTAATAATGCTGACTAGAAACACTCTGTCTGAATACCTCTGCCTCATACTTTGGGAGAGTTCAGATTTAGAGCCACGTCTCAGCTGCATGAACTGATTCTGCTCTTACTTTCAGCAGTTTTGCAGCACTGTGACTCCACTGATTTCAGAAGAGTTATATCTGATTTATGCCAGTGTAACTGAGAGGAGAAATGGACCCTGTGACTCCAGACTCAATAATGGGACTAACCAAAACATAGTCCAAACACCCACAAATGAGGTTGCATGTGGTATGAAGGCAGAACTTTCCCCTAGTTTTCCAGGTGCAAGGCTAAGGAGTTAACAGAATAAGGCTTGATTTTGAGGGGCTGAGTTGAAGCTCATTAGAAGTTGCGAGCACTCAGCCTTTCTTGTCGTCAGGCCCCTCATGTCTAGCTGTTGGCTATCCATTTAAAAAGAAGTGATGCTGAAATCTAATGGTCAAGTCCTGTGTGACACTGAGCACCATCAACATCCACTAACTTTGCTGGTAATTAAGGGTGCCAGCACCTGGCAGGAGGCACTCAGCACCTTGTAGAATCAGGTCCATAGACCATAATCAGTATGCTCACACCTAGAGTTGTGCATTGCACCTAAAAATAAGGGACAAGCTCCAAAAGGGAACTGGCTGGTTTTAAATTACGGTGATACCAGTTTGAATCAATTTCAAGGAATTTGGCAAATTAGTATGGTAGAAAATGAGTTACTGTAGTAATACAAGGTATATTGGACTAATAACTCATTAAGCTGTAAATTGTGTACGATCATGATTGCAAAATGTGGCACATATGATACGCACTATTCCCTGCTCAGTTTGTATGCTGCTTTCTCATCCCTCAACTCTTTCACCATGTTAGCTTTCTGCTTATGAATATACAGTATTCTTTTTATTACAGTCCTTCTTTGTTGACCACAACAGCCGTGCTACCACTTTCATCGATCCCAGGATCCCACTTCAAAATGGCCGTCTCCCTAATCATCTGACTCACAGGCAGCATCTCCAGCGACTTCGCAGCTACAGTGCTGGAGAGGTAACTATAGCATTAAGACCCCTTCCTAAATATATGGTATATCTGCTAGGGAAGTGGTTCTGAACTGGGAGTACACAGAGATCTTCCAGGGGGTACATCAACTCATCTAGATCTTTATCTAGTTGTACAACAGGCTACACAAAAAGCACTAGCAAAATCAGTACAAACTAAAATTTCATACAGACGATGACTTGTTTATACTGCTCTCTATACTAAACACTGAAATGGAAGTACAATATTTATATTCCAATTGATTCATTTTACAATGATGTGGTAAAAAATGAGAAAGTAAGCAATTTTTCAAGTGTGCTGTGACACTTCTGTATTTTTATGTCTGATTTTGTAAGCAAGTAGTTTTTAAGGGAGGTGAAACTTGGGGTACACAAGACAAATCAGGCTCCTGAAAGGGGTACAGTCGTCTGGAAAGGTTGAATCATAGAATCATAGAATATCAGGGTTGGAAGGGACCTCTGGAGGACATCTAGTCCAACCCCCTGGCCAGAGCAGGACCAAACCCAACTAAATCATCCCAGCCAGGGCCTTGTCAAGCCTGACCTTAAAAACTTCTAAGGAAGGGGATTCCACCACCTCCCTAGGTAACGCATTCCAGTGTTTCACCACCCTCCTAGTGAAAAAGTTTTTCCTAATATCCAACCTAAATCTCCCCCACTGCAACTTGAGACCATTACTCCTTGTCCTGTCATCCGCTATCACGGAGAATAGTCTAGATCCATCCTCTTTGGATCCACCTTTCAGGTAGTTAAAAGCAGCAATCAAATCCCCCCTCATTCTTCTCTTCCGTAGACTAAACAATCCCAGTTCCCTCAGTCTCTCCTCATAAGTCATGTGTTCCAGACCCCTAATAATTTTTGTTGCCCTTCGCTGGACTCTTTCCAATTTCTCCACATCCTTCTTGTAGTGTGGATCCCAAAACTGGACACAGTACTCTAGATGAGGCCTCACCAGTGTCGAATAGAGGGGAACGATCACATCCCTCGATCTGCTGCCAATGCCCCTACTTATACACACCAAAATGCCATTGGCCTTCTTGGCAACAAGGGCACACTGTTGATTCATATCGAGCTTCTCGTCCACTGAAAACCCTAGGTCCTTTTCTGCAGAACTGCTGCCTAGCCATTCGGTCCCTAGTCTGTAGCGGTGTATTGGATTCTTCCGTCCTAAGTGCAGGACTCTGCACTTGTCCTTGTTAAACCTCATCAGATTTCTTTTGGCCCAATCCTCCAATTTGTCTAGGTCCCTCTGTATCCTATCCCTACCCTCCAGCGTATCTACCTCTCCTCCCAGTGAGCTGTAGCTCACGAAAGCTTATGCTCAAATAAATTGGTTAGTCTCTAAGGTGCCACAAGTACTCCTTTTCTTTTTGCGAATACAGACTAACACGGCTGTTACTCTGAAACCGCCCAGTTTAGTGTCATCCGCAAACTTGCTGAGGGTGCAATCCACACCATCCTCTAGATCATTAATGAAGATATTGAACAAAACTGGCCCCAGGACCGACCCTTGGGGCACTCCGCTAGATACCGGCTGCCAACTAGACATGGAGCCATTGATCACGACCCGTTGAGCCCGACAATCTAGCCAACTTTCTACCCACCTTGTAGTGCATCCATCTAGCCCATACTTCTTTAATTTGCTGACAAGAATACTGTGGGAGACCTTGTCAAAAGCTTTGCTAAAGTCGAGGAATAACACGTCCACTGCTTTCCCTTCATCCACAGAACCAGTTATCTCATCATAGAAGGCAATTAGATTAGTCAGGCATGACTTGCCCTTGGTGAATACATGCTGATTGTTCCTGATCACTTTCCTCTCGTCTAAGTGCTTCAGAATTGATTCCTTGAGGACATGCTCCATGATTTTTCCGGGGACTGAGGTGAGGCTGACCGGCCTGTAGTTCCCAGGATCCTCCTTCTTCCCTTTTTTAAAGATTGGCACTACTTTAGCCTTTTGTCCAGTCTTCCGGGACTTCCCCCGATCGCCATGAGTTTTCAAAGATAACGGTCAATGGCTCTGCAATCACATCCTCCAATTCCTTTAGCACTCTCGGATGCAACGCATCCGGCCCCATGGACTTGTGCACCAGTTTTTCTAAATAGTCCCGAACCACTTCTTCCTTCACAGAGGGCTGGCCACTCCTCCCCATGCTTTGCTGCCCAGTGCAGTAGTCTGGGAGCTGACCTTGTTCGTGAAGACAGAGGCAAAAAAAGCACTGAGTACATTAGCTTTTTCCACATCCTCTGTCACTAGGTTGCCTCCCTCATTCAGTAAGGGGCCCACACTTTCCTTGGCTTTCTTCTTGTTGCCAACATACCTGAAGAAACCCTTCTTGTTACTCTTAACATCCCTCGCTAGCTGCAACTCCAGGTGTGATTTAGCCTTCCTGATTTCATTCCTACATGCCCAAGCAATATATATATATATATACTCATCCCTGGTCATTTGTCCAATCTTCCACTTCTTGTAAACCTCTTTTTTGTGTTTAAGATCAGCGAGGATTTCACTGTTAAGCCAAGCTGGTCACCTGCCATATTTACTATTCTTTCTACACATCGGGATGGTTTGTCCCTGTAACCACAATAAGGATTCTTTAAAATACAGCCAGCTCTCCTGGACTCCTTTCCCCCTCATGTTATTCTCCCAGAGGATCCTGTCCATCAGTTCCCAGAGGGAGTCAAAGTCTGCTTTTCTGAAGTCCAGGGTCCTTACTCTGCTGCTTTCCTTTCTTCCTTGTTTCAGGATCCTGAACTCGACCATCTCATGGTCACTGCCTCCCAGGTTCCCATCCACTTTTGCTTCCCCTACTAATTCTTCCCGGTTTGTGAGCAGCAGATCAAGAAGAGCTCTGCCCCTAGTTGGTTCCTCCAGCACTTGCACCAGGAAATTGTCCCCTACAGTTTCCAAAAACTTCCTGGATTGTCTGTGCACCGCTGTATTGCTCTCCCAGCAGATATCAGGATGATTGAAGTCGCCCATGAGAACCAGGGCGTGCGATCTAGTAGCTTCTGCGAGTTCCCGGAAGAAAGCCTCGTCCACCTCATCCCCCTGGTCCGATGGTCTATAGCAGACTCCCACCACGACATCACCCTGGTTGCTCACGCTTCTAAACTTAATCCAGAGATTCTCAGGTTTTTCTGCAGTTTCATACTTGAGCTCTGAACAGTCATACTGCTCCCTTACATACAGTGCAACTCACCCACCTTTTCTGGCCTCCCTGTCCTTCCTGAACAGGTTATACCCATCCATGACAGTACTCCAGTCATGTGAGCTATCCCACCAAGTCTCTGTTATTCCAATCACATCATAATTCCCTGACTTTGCCAGGACCTCCAGTTCTCCCTGCTTGTTTCCCAGGCTTTGTGCATTTGTATATAGGCGCTTGAGATAACTCGCTGATCGCCCCTCGTTCTCAGTATGAGGCAGGAGCCCTGTGCTAGGGCACATGATGGTTCTTATTTTTAGCTTTTGACAAGCAGATGCAGCTTAAAAGCATTTGGAATTTCACCCCAGTAATCCCATTTGGCCAAAGAAAAATCTAAACCCTCATATACTGTTCTCCCAGCTCCTTAATCTTAGTTTCCCTGAACCCTGAGTTCTCCTTTTCTCCTCTCAAGTCTTCATGCTATCAGCCCTATATCTGCCACTTCCTTGACACTGACTCTGCTGACCCACTCATTCATGAATTTGTCACTTCATGCCTTGAACATTGAAACTCATTTCTCATGGCCTCCCAAAGTCACTTGTATCCAAATTCCAGTCTGTTCAGAATGCTACTACACACCCATATATTCAACCTGTATACCCAGCAGTACATCACCCTCAAGATGAAAACCTCCTTTGCCTTTGAATCTGCTATGGACTCACTCACCATGTGTTCAAAGCCCTTTGTGGCCATGCTCCCAACTACCTCCTTATTATCATCTCTTCCTATACTCTCAGCTGCTCTCTTTGCTCTGCCAATTATGGCTTCTTTCCATCCCCCTACCCACATACTGTCCTTTCTCAGAGAATGATCCTGTGCTTCCACTGTCTCAGCTACTGTATATTGCTCAGTCTGTTCACTTCCATCTGGCATGTATTGGGCCTGATCCTCCACTGGGATAAATTGAAATAGCTCCATCTTCAGGAGAAGATGACAGCCATTCACCACTAATGACAGCCATTCACCACTCTTCATATATTGCTTTCCTATACTCAGACACCTTCTTATTGTAACATCCATCACTGTAACTTGGCTGTGTTCTGAGGTACCTGTAGGACATCCACAAAATGAAGTGACACTTGACTGTGCAAGAGGAAGACTTGGGGGAAAAGAGAAGTACAATAAAGGCAAAGAAAGCTTGAGGTCCCATGATGCTGCCCTACCGTTGACAGCAGATGCATTTGGGATAGTGAAACAGAATGCAGACATGAGAGGAATAACAGCACCATTCTATCTGACACCTGTCTTTTGCACACTTTAAAATATCCCTTATATCTGAAGGGTTTTAATAGATGGTTTTGTGACTTTTTATCTTTCAAAAGATAGTGGCTTCATATTTCTTTCTTGCTAGAGTATTTATCGAATGACCTGTCAATAGCAGACTGTAGACATATGACCCTCTCTAATGCAAATCAACCAAATTGATAAGACAATGGAAATAGATTTTGAAGGAAGACTCAGTGTTTGAGGTTCTGGCCCAGGCTTTAATAAAATCAAGGCATCCAATACAATTATGGCCTGACAGTTCAGCAGCTCACTGTGACTCTAGTATCTGATAAGATATTCTCCCTATCATGTGTAGTACTGTGTGCTGAGGTGTGTTTCCATGCTGTTAGATTACTGATGATAGGCTTTATGATACTGAAATCATTTCAAATGATCTTTTCTCTGTTGCATGGAGATAACATTCCCCACTGCACAGTGTGGAGGGGATGACGGGAGCATAAATGCCACTCGAGGCCCAAATGATCGTGGAGGCAGGGATGCTAAAGCACCAGCATTTCTCTCCCACCTGCAGAACTGCACATGGTAGAGGCTTTTTAGGGTTGTGGGGGTGGAGGGGAGAAGGAACAAGTTGGGAGTGGATCACAGCCAAGGGAACAGCTGTTGTATTCATCATCCTCTCCCAGAAAACCAGCAGGAAAATTCCTAGGGGAGTTGATATTGACCCAATCAGTGTTAACTCCAGCAGGATCATGCTGTGCCACCCAGCCCCCTTGGAGAGGCTGTTTTGGACTAGTGCGTGGGACTGGAGGCAACAACATCACTGCTTCTGGGATATCAGTACTGGCAGGGGAGAGAGAGCACTGGAGGGTTGTGTGAATTTTCCCATCGTGGGTGAACAACAACATTTTTCTCAAATGTTCACATAAATTTGTTAATGAATTTGCTTCTGTCATGCCTACTACCCTGACTTAGCAATCAATTTCTGCCAGCACCATAGCACTGAATTTTACTGTTTGCAGTGTTGTTGTAGCTGTGTTGGTGCCAGGATATTAGAGAGACAAACTGGGTGAGATAATATCTTTAATGGGACCAACTTCTTTTGGTGAAAGAGACAAGCTTTTGAGCAACACAGAGCTGAAGTAAACCTGACCTGAAGAAGAGGTCTGTGTCACTCGAAAGCTTGTCTCTTTCCCCAGCAGAAGATGGTCCAATAAAAGATATTCCCTCACCCACCTTCTATCCATAATTGAATTTTGCTGCCACAGCTGGTTCACAAAAAGCAAATCTGAAAGTTGTGCACACAGTAATCCATGCTAGTGGAAGCATTTACCCTGGAAGTGCTTCCACATTCATCCAACCAGGGAACAGAAACAATGGCATACAACTTACTTGCCAAACCTAACAAACACGTGCAGCTCATATATCAAGGACTAGCAGAGAACTGCGCACTATAAATCCATAAAGTTGTTTAAGAAAAAGAGAGAGAGAAAAAAAAACAGATGAAACAGTCTAATACTGTTAAATAACGAGAATACTGTTGAATAATTAACACACTTGAGGAAATTGCAAACTACTCCTAGGTCCTGATGCCCAGTGGAAAGACTCCCATTGACTTTTGTGGGCTTTGGGTCAGGCTCTGAAAGCCCACCCTTTACAGAGCAGAAGACTCTAGCACCAAAACAAATTTACCAAGACCAAAAGGTTTCATACCACGATAGCTATTGTTAATATGAATGGGATATGTTTTTGTCCTATAAATCATGCCCATGGGGAAATCCCAGAGACTCACTTAGGTTTGAGAGAGAGAGGAAAAACATGTCAAAACACGCTTCCCTCTGGCCACTTGCCAGCTGCTTGAAGTTCTGCTGGCTCCTCTGCTGAGCAGCAAGGAGAGCCCTCTAAACAGCAGGAGAGAAGCAAACTGGAGATTTTAAAGATCTGTCAGCATCAATTAAATAAATCAACTGTTTCTCATCCTCCTCCTCAACTTAATGAAGGGCAATTATGGTCTTTGCACTGAGAGTAAAGGACAGGGATATAATTAATGCCAGTCAGCATGACTTTATGGAAAATAGGTCTTGTCAAACAGTTCTGATTTCGTTCTTTGATGTGATTAGACGTTTGATAAATGTAACTGCATAGAGGTAATAGACTTAGAATTTTGTAAGGCATTTGACTTGGTACCACACAACATTCTGATTAAAATATTAGCGCTGTACAATGTCAATAAAACACACATAACATGGATTAAGAACTGGCTAAAAATGACAGATCTCAAAAAGTAGTTGTCTGTGGAGAATCATCATTGAATGGAGGAAGGATGTTCTACTGGGCCTCCTTGGGGATCAGTACTAGGCCCACGGCTGTTCAACATTTTCATCAGTGATGTGGAAGTAAATATAAAATCACTGCTGATAAAACATGTGGATAACACAAAGATTGACAGAGTGGTATATAATGATGAGGACTGGGTAGTCCTACAGAATGATCAGGATCACATAGCAAGCTGGGTCCATTCAAGCAAAATGCATTTTAATGCAGCCAAATGGAAAGTTATACAACTAGGAACAAGGATTGCAGGCCATAGCTACAGAATGGGGGACTATATCTAAAAATACAGTGACTCTGAAAATGGATTTAGGGTGATAGTGGAAAAGCAACTGAACATGAGCTCCCAGTGTGATGCTTTGGCAAAGAGGGCTAAGTTGATCCTCAGATGTATAAGCAGGGGAGTAGTGAGTGGGGAGGGGATTTTACTTCTGTATTTGGTGCTGCTGAGACAGATACTGGTGTACAGTTCAGGTGTCTATATTTTTTAAAGGATTTTGAAAAACTGGAAACGGTGCAGAAAAGAGCCACAAAAGTTATTTGTGAGCTGGAGAAAATGCCTTCCAGTAAAAGGTTTAACAGCCTTCAAGGTTCAGTATAGTTGCCCTTGAATCAACACCTCACATTTTAACATCTCAAATGTACTTGTAAATTAAGCCTCCCTTATGAGATTGGAATATACAAATATGACTTCCTGATTAAGTCAGCTTTCTTCACCTTCACATGTAAAAAGCATTCTCTGGAAAAAGTAGAGATAATAATTGTACAGCTTTTATTGATGGGCCACCATTGTTTCTAAGCTCTTCTATACAAAGCCGTACCACAACTGCCAAAAGACAGACCTTTCCAAAATGCACTTTCCTCCTTAATCTGTGCCTCATATTTCATATAAGAACATATTGTGAATATTCTAGAACACCTTCCTATTCCTATTCCACTCCACAAAATTGATTTACTCAAAAATTGTTCACTCTTATTCCTGTTTTTCCATTGCAATGAAGTATCTTCCTAAATTAAAGACCCCTATAAAGGCTTTTGATGTCCATTTTTAAGTTTCTTGATCTTCAGTAGCATTATGTAGTTTGTCCTGTAAAATTTCTACAATTTTGGGTGCAAGGGCATCCATTTCCCCCTTTCTGCAGAGCTAAAAGGTCAAGGCTAATCCCAGCTACCCTTTAAAAAACTTAATAGGCCAGATACTCAGCTAGTGTAAACTGAAGTTTTATTGAAGTCAACAGCTAAAGACTAGAGGACAATCTATGTCTAGAATCCTGCTACACCTCCAGAAATCAAAACAGATCAGTAGCAATGGTGAAGTGTCACCATTCTCTCCAGTTGGCTTCCCTTCTGGGATGGCCACTGCCATTGTATGGTGACAGGGCATACTCGATCTTATAAACTTACCTTAAAAAGAACAGGTAGGAATTTGAGCCAAAACCAGTGGCCACGCATGGTGGAGAGGCACTGGAGGGAGTAGCTGGATTTTGCCAGCTATTATTTTGTGAAATATGGCCTTAGTAATGCTTTTGATGTCAGTGTTTGTTATCAGCTTGTCTATACTGGCAGCTTTCTTCAACAGTTGGAAAAAATCCAGGGCAAAGCATAGCTGATAATCACTGTCAACAGTGGGTCATTTTCCTGATGTAGAAAAGGCCCAAACCAGAGACAGTGTTGGACATGTACTGCTTCTGTTTGGATAAACAGAAGCCATGCATATGCATGCCTCTTACATAAATTCTTGTTAAGTTACTCATATTCACTTCTGGGGAATATTACCCATTTCTGTTCTGATATATCTTTTCCTCATGTTATTACAACAATAATTTCCATCCCAGTGTGCCAAATGAATATTTTAGGGCCAAATTAAACAAAAGTGTCCTTAATTTTTTTACTCAAAAAATTGCACAAATAGCTGTTTCTACCTGAATGTGGCATTTGCATATGCAAATGTAATAATGGAATGCAAAGGCCTGTTCTACACTTAAAAAATTTGACTTGCATAGCAAGGTTGATTAGGGATGTGACTTTTTACTAATACTGTTATGCCTGTAAAAGATGCAGTTATACTTATATAAGGCACTTTATGAGGCACTGGTATAAGGCACTTGTAGTTTATATTTCATTGTCAGACTGGAATAAGTTATACACCTCTATGAGCACATTTATACCAGTATAACTGCATTGACGCTGGGGAAGGGAGGAATTGCTGCTCTAACTATGCTGGCATAGCTAAAGAGATAAAATTGTATAGTGTAGACAAGGACATAGTGTGCATCCCTTTGCAAACTCAGAATTGTGTGCCTCTTTGAAGCTGAGCAAAAACTTGACCATCAGAGTGCAAAGCCATTCCTTTTTCATGAAAACTTGTGCCTAAATTATTTCTATGGTATTAATATGCATGTTGTTGATTCCATGTGTAATTTCTCTAGACTGGGACTATGCAGAATATATCACAGCTTTAGAATATGGATGTTGAAAACTGTGACCAATAACAGTAAAAAAAAAAAAAAAAAAATCCTTAAAACTGAGTCAGTCAATCTCATGATTTTGGATTAAAGTCGCAGAAGTAAAAAGACATAATAAAATTTTGTATTGACTAATATGTAGCTAAATGTCTAATTACAACATTTTTCTTTCCTTCTCTCATTTTAGGCATCAGAAGTCTCTCGGAATAGAGGCGTTTCTCTGTTGACCAGACCAGGCAACAGCCTAGTAACAGCAATTCGAAACCAGCACCATCATGAGTCATTACCTCTGGGTAAGTAGGGCCTATTTTTTCTTTCTAGTGGGGCTCCTTGGGTTTAAGACCATTCAACAGTCCTATCCCTTATCTAGCTCTCTACCAACTCTTCCTTAATGAGGAGCCAGGGAATATTATATTGATGGTGATCATATTGTATTACTGTGTGCTTTATTCTGTATGCTGTATTATCACGATTTGATGAGTAATTTTCAGTAGCACAGTTGTCATCATCTCCAAAAGTGTCACTTGTTGCTAGAGTAAAGAAAAGCCTGTGTGGTCTTTATCTATTCCAGCTTACAATGACAAGATTGTTGCATTTCTACGCCAACCAAACATTTTTGAGATGCTGCAGGAGCGTCAGCCAAGCTTGGCCAGGAACCATGCACTCAGGTATTGATCTGTTTCAAGTTACTGTAAACAGTCTCTTTAATCCTGTCCCCTATTGGCTTTGGAGCCAGCAGATAGGGTGTTCCATGGGGCCTGGAAAGAAAGAAATCCTCTCCCTTTAGGCCACAGGGTCATTGTTATACCACTCTATGGCCATTGCTGCAGCCAGGAAGTAGGAATTCATGATTCTGGTGCTTCTGCACCACATGCTCTGTAAGGGCACTGGCTGTAGATCTGTATAGCAGTGGATCCACTGGCCTCACTCCCACTTCTCCTTACCTGGCCCTACCATTCAAACTCTGCTACAGGGACATCCAAGGAGCTATCTTGGAGTGTGGAGTCCTTTGCATGGACTTCCCATATTCAATTCTAACCCACAGCAGAGGAGAAGGGAGCAGGATTGACCCCATAATGCTTATAAAATCAACTGTCAAATAACTCTACATTTTGTCATTCACATTAATATAGAGCAATAAGAACAAAAGGTCAGTGGGGAAGTCAGTGGGACCTAGGCTTCAAAGACACTTAGGTGCTTTGAAAATTTCACCTTTTCTGTGCACAGTATAAATGTGTAGACCTAGGTCCTTCACTATGGATGAGGAGCGTACAGTACAGCTCAGCATTTCCCCAATCTTGAATCTGCTCTTACTATGATGGTCCCCATCGTAAACTACCAACATATCAGATAGCAGCTGCCAGTGGTTCCCAGGAGCCCAGAACAGCCCCTGAGATCAGTGGGACACAGGGAAGTCCAGCCACTCCCCCTTTGCATGAATCACATCTCCAAAGAGTATGGGATCCTCTAAGGGTATGTCTAGACTGCAATTAAAAACCCATGGCTGGACCATGCCAGTTGACTTGGGCTTGCGGGGCTCAGGCTGTGGGGCTGTTTCAGTGCAGTGTAGACTTCTTAGCTAGGGCTGCAGCCTGAGGTCTAGGATCCTCTGATCTCACAGCGTCCTAGAGCCTGCAGGAGTCCCCAGTCCTGAGGTGAACCTGTTACCCCAAACAATGGATTTTGGGATGTCCCTATAATAATCTGCCTATCAGCCCCATAGTCTGTTCTTCACAAGGTATGAATTTCCGGGGTTGTTAAGGAAACACTAAAGGACATGGATATAACCTTCCGATAAAGTGATTGACACAGGCAGTATATCTTCCAAAACAAAGGGTCTTTTTATTCAAGTAACTAAAAATCCCTAATATAGTCTATCTAAAAATTCTAAATAAGACACAATCCCTTATTGTGAATTAAAAGAGCATTCAAACCAAAATAGCATACAGTTTAAATGATTCTAAGAGAAGCGCTTTGCTACAAATTGCCAGTTTGTAACAAATTTCTGACCGCAGTTTTTAAATTATACTTTAAGTTTTACGTAAGTAAAATACAATTAAAACATACACACACTTCAAGCATACACATATTAAGTACTATGCTACACTAGAAATTATATTTAAAAACTGGCAGGCTTACTTTGTAAATTCTTTGGTATTCTTCTTTAGTCACTATTGCTGCTCAGCTCTGCTACTGTTGCAGTTTATTCTCAGTCAACTCCTGTGATGGGTTGTCACCCTTGGGGTGCAGTCTGCGAGCCGTGGGAACCTCTGTGGGCTCTAAAACCCCCAAGCTGGGCAGGCCTCTTTCACACTGCTTTGTTGGAGATTCAGGCAGCCTCACCAGAACCTGTTATCACCCAACATGACAGCAGGTGGCTGACGGCAGGTCCCACTGAGTTACCTGAGTGCTTTACCTAAGCCACTCAAGGACATACAGCCAATTTCTCAGCTCCCCCACTTTGCACCCCTGCTGGAATATAAACCCAGAATTATGCCATTTTACACTGCACGGGGATCTGTACAATGTAAGCTCATTAATATAGTTTTATTTCCCCTCGATGTATGAAAGATATGCACAACAAGCTTGTGTTAACCAAGCTGAGACTTTCTCCCCAACACTTCACTCAAAATACACTGATTAAGATAAAGCATAAAGCAAGTTTATTAACTACAGAAAGATAGATTTTAAGTGATTATATGTGATAGCAAACAGATCAAAGCAGATTACCTCGCAAATAAACAAAAATGAAAACTACCCTAATATACTCATTAGGACTTGAATTAGCAATTTCTCTCCCTGACTGATGATACAAGCAGTCCGCCAAGTTTCCATACACAGGCTAGAAATCCCTTTAGCCTGGGACCAGCACTTCCTCCAGTTCAATCTTTGCTCATCAGATGTTTCCAGGAGTTCTCATTGGTGGGGAGAGGGCCCCAAGATGATGTTACTCCCTGCCTTATATAGCTTTTCCATATGTCGGGAAGCCTTTGTTCCAAACTCAGTTCCCAGTCCAGTTTGTGGAAAAATACAGGTACCAAAATGGAGTTATGTGGTCTGGTCACATGCCCTTGCATGCCTTGCTGAGTCATAGAAGCCATTACTTACAGGCTGGCTGAAACATTTCCAGGAAGGCTCACCAAGTGGGGGATAAGCTTCTCCTAAGGCCTGTTTCCCCTAGTGGCCCATTTGCCTGAATAGACCCTTCACAACTAGCTGCCTAGACAGCAAGCATTTTGCCTAGTGGGTGTCACCCACTTGTAACTACATTTGAAATACAGATACATAGTCAATATTCATAACTTCAGATACAAAAATGATACATGCATATGAATAGGATAATCATATTAAGCCAGGGGTTCGCAACCTTTCAGAATGGTGTGCAGAGTCTTCATTTATTCACTTTAATTTAAGGTTTCACGTGCCGGTAATACATTTTAATGTTTTTAGAAGATCTCTCTCCCTATAAAAGTCTATATGTTGTATAATTAAACTATTGTTGTATTATAAATTAAACAAGGTTTTCAAAATGTTTAAGAGGCTTCATTTAAAATTAAAATGTTTATCTTTTGCCTCCGGACCTCTCAGCCCGCTGCTGTTCTGGGGTTCTGTTCACCTAGGCCAGCAGCGGGCTTAGTGGGGCCTGTGGCTGGGACCCTGGCTGGCAAGGGGCCGGCAGCCAGAACCCCAGACCGGCAGTGGGCTGTGCGGGGCCGGCGGCTGGGACCTCAGATCGGCAGTGGGCTGAGCGCCTCAGCCCCATGCCACTCAGCCCGCTGCCAGTCTGGGGTTCAGTCCGTTGACTCCTGCCAGCTGGGATTCCGGCTGCTGGACCCACTCAGCCTGCTGCCGGTCTCGGGTCCCAGCCCTGCTCACATACAGTGGGTGCCTACCTTCTCCCTGGTTCTGGCCCATTCTCTTCCTGTCTCTCTGCACTGAGTTGAGGGTGGGAGTGCACTGAGCACAGGCTGGGGGTGAAAGAGCAGGCTGGGGGTTGGGGTGTAGAGTCTGGCTTGGAGCTAGAATGTGAGAGGGTGCTCAGGGTTGGGGCAGGAGGTTTGGGTGTGGAGAGCTTACCTGGGCAGTTCCCATTTGGTGGGAGGGGTGCAGGTGGGAATGTGGGGGGAGGGGGATGCAGGAGCTCCCGTTTGGTGCTCAGGGAGGAGGGTGGATATGTGGGGGGTGCAAGAGTCAGGATGTGGGGGGTGCATGCGGTGTGGGGGGCTGAGTATGTGGGGGGGTGCCAGAGTCAGGGCTGGGGTCATGGGGGGGGTGAAGGAGTCAAGCAGAGGTCTGGGTGTGCGTGAGAGGGGTACAGGGCTCAGGGCAGGGGCCTGGGGGTGTGCGGGGCTGCAGGACTCAGGGCAGAGGGCTGGGTGTGTGTGAGGGGGGTCAGGGCAGAGGGCTGGGGGTGTGGGCTGAAATCGTGGGGTGCTCACAGCAGGGGACTGGAGGGGGTATGCCCCACTTCCACCACCCCCCTTCTCCAAGGCCCTGCCCCCGCTTCTTCTCTGCCTCCACCGGGAGCAGCAAGCACACTGACCCCGCTCCTCCCCCACACCCTCGCAAGGGCCAACAGCTGATCGGCCGGCAGGGGGGGACAGAGAGGAGGAGGAGGGGCAGGAACTCAGCACACTGCGGGAGGGGAGCCAGCAGGACCAAGCTTCTGCCCCCTGCGCCTGCGGGAGGGGGCGGAGAAGAGCGGGCCCAGCCGGGCCGGGCCAGGCCGGGCTGGGCAGGGCAGGGCAGGATTTTTAATGGCACGCTGCTGCTGCCCCAGCAGGCAGCCACGTGCCATTAAAAATGGGCTCACGTGCCGTCTTTGGCACGTGTGCCATAGGTTGCCGACCCCTGTTTTAAGCAAATCATAACTACTCCAATGTCACTTCACAAGACATATCTTGAACCAGGTGCATCATAATTACATTATAATCATATCAAAATCATACTCCTATGAAGAATCTGAGGTGCAGTGTCACAGCTCCCTTCCTCTGTTCACAGCTCACTCCCAGCAGCTTCTCTGTCCTTCATGCATTAGTTATTTTGTTTCAGTGTTGCCGATATTGTGGCTGCTGCTGAAGCTACCGTCTGTGCTGTTGTAAGTGCTTTTCTTCATGAGAGCTCTCCTCAGAACTCTGTCTTCCAGCAGCTCTTCTTCCTGATTTCCATTCTCTTCATCCAACTTCTCCTGATTACTGCCTTCCTCCTGACTGACCAACTGCCTGCCGGCACTGCTTTTTTGTATTGTTCTAACACACATTACCTCATCTTCAGCTACCAGAAGAAACAGCCCCAAGCTGGCCCAGGTTAGTTCTTCCATCTCTTTCATTCAGCACATGCTCACTGTTGCTGTTTACCTCAGAGTTATGATTCTGCCAACCCCAACACCTGCTTGACTCTTTGCCAGGGTGCCGTCTTAGCTCTCCTGGATTCTCTGCCAATTAACTGAACTTTCACCCTGTCTCAATATTGAGCATGCTCGGGGTCTGCAGCATCCATCTGAGGACGGAGTGACTCCTTCTTATTCAGAATAGAGATCAGGTGGACAAAGTGGAGGGTGGAGAAATTCTGAACAAACATTTCATGGCCAGTTACTCTGGATGTAGAACCACAATCCACCGACTGTGAAGAGCCCAGGAAGATCTGGGCCACATACCATCCCTGCACACTGTGGCAAGGTACCTTCTTGGTCTCACAGCCTCAGTTGTTTTTAGCCTTGGTGAGACGGGCTTGGGTAAAACAGTCCTTCTTGGCTGCACAGGGGCAGTCCATTCCTTCTCTCAGCCAGTCTTTTGGGCTACATTTCTCTCTAAGCAGAGTGAATGTAGCTTCCCCTCCTGGTGAGGCTTGCTGTCTTGCTGCTCCTACCCTACTGGCAGCTTGACTCTGACTCTGACTCCTACTCTCTCTCTCTCTTTCTCTCCTCCCAATAGGGGAGGGTTTAAAAAAGGTCTCAGGCAGCCCTTAGTTGGAATCAGCTGATTCTAATTGACCTCAGGTAACTCCCTCTCAGTGGATCCTAATTGATCTCTGGTAACCCCTTCTCAGCTGAACCGGATTGACCTGGAGTCACCCCTCCCCAGTTGATAGGGAGGAGGGCCTTTTAACCTTCTGGGACTGTTTTCTTACCCCCCACCCCTTGCAGCTGTCTGTCCTGAGTTTATCACAACACCAAAAGATGCATTTACCATCTAAGAATGAACTTAAATAAGCTAGAGAATGAGCAGCACCAAAAAGGCATTTAGTGCCTCTTCGCTTCAGTCTTTACTAAAAGAGTTAATTTTATCAGATACTGAACGCAGTTAATATTGACAACAAGAGAGAAAAAACCAAGCCACGATAAGGAAAGAATAGTTAAAATAATATTTAGATAAGTTAGATATATTCAAGCCAGCAGGGCTTGATGAAGTTCCCTCTAGGGTTCTTAAGGAAGTAGCTGAAGTAATCTTGGAACCATTAGCAATTGTCTCTGAGAACTCATGGAGAATGGGGTGACTCCTGGATGGGGGCACTAAGCGGGGAAACACAGTTGTGCATGGGGAGCCATAATTTGTACTTCAGCAATCATTGAATATATTTGTAATTTCGTGGGTGCTTTATTCATTAAAAACACAAAACTATTGCAAAACTTTTTCATGTTCATATTCATCACATGTCATTCCTTTTGCTTCTCTAAAGAAACAGAAGAGTGTTTTCTCTATACTCTAATTCACTTCTTTTCCTTGTTCTTTTTTATAGTTTACCTGTTGGCCTCCTTGTTTCATGTTCTACATTTCAGTTTCTCTAAAAAAATAGTCAAATCCTTGTTAACAGGATGTAAAAAATGAAGAGGTGCCCGAGTTACAATGGTCACCACTGAAGAGTCAGCATTTGCTAATGGAGTCCATATAGTTATAGTTATTTTCCACAGGTACCCAAGTATAGGGAAGAACTGTGGTATCTGTGGACACACATTTACAACTCAATGGCCACTATATTTATGCCTCAATGGCAAAAACTCTATAGATCAGATATCTCTGCTTACAATGACCATCTTATTCTTCAGGGGTCTTGGGTGAAATACTGGCTCCACTGAGGACAATGGCAATTTCCCATTGACTTCAGTGGCACCAGAATTTCACCCCTTAACTCTAATAGTAGTGCCATGGCTAGAGAAGCCCTATATTTTACAGAAACATAGGAACATTATTTACTAAATTGCACTCCCGTCTTCACTTCTTTTCTCTGAGAACTTAATAATGTGTTTAAAATTCTTTCCAAAGTAATTAAACCATTTGATACCATTTCACCTGTTCCTTTCATCTTATATAAAAGTGGTGAAATGAAAAAGAAACAGAATGATAATCTTTTGGGGCTAGATCCTCATTTGGTGTAAATCAGCTTCTATCCATTGACTTTTATGGAGTGATGCAATTTATACTAGTTGAGGATCTGGCCCAAGGATTCAATAAATGCCACACTGTGACCAGCATAACAAAACAGAGAACATCCATGTTTTCCCATTGAGATTTCTCTCTGAGAATTTTGCTGGCCTTGCTGACTGATCATTTACCTAAGAAGATCAGACAAAGAGTTCTTTGGGTGTAAAGGATTAGAAATGCCTCCAGGAGGAATGAAATGCTAATAGATTGAGGGAGAGAATGAAAAATGCCTCCAGTATTTAAGATGTACATTTTTGTAATTGAGAATTTTTATCATCGCCATCAAATTATTATAGACTTTTTTCACTTCTGTAATTTGAGTTCTTATCCCTTAGAGAACAGGAAATGCTTTTATCTCTTTTTCAGCAGAGAACAAAATTGACTAATGATGGGGACTAGACAGCTTTGCGGATATGTAATGAGATTTGTAACAGGATACTGAGCCTTTCACCTCTAGGTCACTGCTTTGTTTCCACCTTTGGTCAGTAGTGGCCCAAAGCTACTATCTGATGGCTGTTCATCAACTTTTGTGGAATGGGCTTGTGGATCTTAGACAAGTTCCCAGCAGACAAGTGTTCATTTCATACAGGGCTAGATCCTGCAAGGCACCTAGCATTCTGGCTCCAGTGCAGCAAAGTAGTCAAACACATGTATAGCTGTGGGCACGAGTAGTCCCGTTTGACTTAATATTGGAATAAATGATGTCCCACTGGACCATTCACATGCTTAAAGATTGCTCGATCAGATTGCTTGACAGAATCCTTTGCACATTGCAGGACTGAGCCTCAAACAACCACCCCTATTGGCACTAATTTACACCCACGTTTGTATTCCCAGCAGAGACCCCGGGGATTAAATGGTCATGAAGAATGATTTATTCTTTTTCTCCTTGAAGTAGTCCTTTTATATTTGCCTTGAGGCATAAGAATGGCCCTACTGGGTCAGACCAAAGGTCCATCTAGCCCAGTATCCTGTCTTCCAACAGTGGCCAATGCCAGGTGCCCCCCGAGGGAATTAACAGAAAAGGTAATCATCAAGTGATCCATTCTTTGTCGCCCATTCCCAGCTTCTGGCAAATAGAGCCTAGGGACACCATCCCTGCCCATCATGGTTAATAGCCATTGATGGACCTATCCTCCATGAATTTATCTAGTTTTTTTTAACCCTGTTATAGTTTTGGCCTTTACAACATCTTCTGTTGTAGGAGTTCCACAGGTTGACTGCGTTCTGTGAAGAAATACTTCCTTTTGTTTGTTTTAAACCTGCTGCCTATTAATTTCATTAGTTGACCCCTGGTTCTCGTGTTATGAGAAGGAGTAAATAAAAACTTCCGTATTTACTTTCTCCACACCAGTCATGATTTTATAGACCTCTATCATGTCCCCCATTAGTCGTCTCTTTTCCAAGCTGAAAAGTCCTAGTCTTATTAATCTTTCCTCATATGGCAGCCGCTCCATACCCCTAATAATTTTTGTTGCCCTTTTCTGAGCCTTTTCCATTTCCAATATATCTTTTTTGAGATTGGACAACCACATTTGCACACAGTATTCAAGATGTAGGTGTACCATAGATTTATATAGAGGCAATATGATATTTTCTGTCGTATTATCTATCCCTTTCTTAATGATTCCCAATGTTATGTTCGCTTTTTTGATTGCGGCTGCACATTGAGTGGATGTTTTCAAAGAACTATCCACAATGACTCTTTCTTGAGTGGTAACAGCTAATTTAGACCCCATCATTTTATATGTATAGTTGGGATTGTGTTTTCCAATGTACATTACTTTGCATTTATCAACATTGAATTTCATCTGCCATTTTGTTTCCCAGTCACCCAGTTTTGAGAGATCCTTTTGTAGCTTTTTGCAGTCTGCCTGGGACTTAACTATCTTGAGTAGTTTTGTATCATCTGCAAATTTTGCCACCTCACTGCTTACCCCTTTTTCCAGAGGCACATTGGTAGTCCCGTTTGATGATGGTTACAATACTGCTGCCATGCTCATTGGGTATGGCTCTGATCTTACACACAGCAGTTTTACATTGATTGACTTCCACAGAATTATTCTTTATTTATAACAGTGTCAGTAAGATCAGACCCAGGCTCATTCTGTTTCTAGATAGGACTTCAGTCCCCAGGACGATCAATCAAGCAACTTCAGTGAACAGTAAATTCATATGTAGGAATTATTTTAATTTTAAAATAAATAATTGTCCTACAAGTTTTATCATAGACCAACCTGGGACTGAAACGTGTAAAGGATAGGGCGTTACATACAACTCTGTTAAGAAAATGTTGTATATTAGGTATAGCCTCCACAGAGGCGAACTTTCATCTATCAATTTTGTCAACTGCAGTGTTACACATAAGTTCTAGGAATAGGGAAATCATCTTGCTCTCTAAAATGTGACTCTTGCTTTGGGAACAGATTGCTAGTATGATTTAAAGAATGTTGTTTTATAGATTGTTCAGATTTGAAAAATGTGTCAAGCAATAGGGATATTTATTTGCTATCTTAATGAGAAAAGCAAAAAGAAACTAGAGAAGCAGTGAGGAAAAAATAATCCATCCCTATCTTATGGTTTGACAATGATGTGATTTCTTTTCCCCCTCTTGTCATAAATTTTCCAGGGAGAAGATCCATTACATTCGGACAGAGGGTACACATGGGCTTGAAAAGTTGTCCTGTGATGCAGATTTAGTAATTCTACTGAGGTAATCAGTTTGAACAAAAACAGAATTTTGTCACTCATGGTACACAAGAAGCTGGCTAGCTGTCTCCACCCTATTTTTTTGACATATTTTAGGTGATTGACAGAATTTGTTAAATCGAGGCTGATCTCTGCTAGGGCCCTATCGTGATTACACAGGGATTCATTTGTCCTGATAGCTAGTTGGTTTTCATAATAATTCAACCACAATATATGTGTCAAATCATACTTTCCAGAAACTAGTCCCCACTGGTGCAACGAAGTTTACCCTTTGATTACACTGAACTGTAAGGTTTTGGCTTTAAGGATTAGATTAGAAACGACATTTTAAATTTTCCTGTGGCATTTTGAAATGCAGAAATGTGGTTCCCACCTTTCTGAATAACAATCAGATGCAGATTATAGGAATGTCAGTTATGCCACTGGCAGTGCTATCCAGGAGGCTATCTCACATTAAGGAAGAGCTGAGCTACAGTGAAGTGAACGACCATTACTATGTAATGGAGGCAATGGTTTAGTAATGTAGGCAGGGTCTTAGCATCTTTTGGAGCTCCAACGAAATTAGCGCTTTAGAGCCTAGGATAATTTGATTTATGTGGCTCAACACAATGAAGGATTACATTTCTGTTTTGCCCTGTGTTTACACTAAAACACATGGCACCCTAGTTGATTTTGATTGGAGTTACACAGCCCACTCTATCTAATGCAAGAAGTATACGACTTGCTCCCACTACCTATATCTTGATGCAGATAGATGATCAGAGAGCCATGCAGTGGCTATAGCAAAATATATGACCAAGACAAATCATAGTCAAAAGGGAAACAATTTGTGTATCAATATGTATCCCCTGTTCTTGCTTTTGACCACTGGATGTTGTTGCTTTTACCATTGCCTCAAACCTTGGCTCATCCATCCAATATGGCACTGTCTTGGCACGAAAATGTCTAATGGAACTCACTTTGTTACTCTAAAATGAAGACTTTGCTTCTTGAGGCCGTGCCTGATTGGGCAGATCGCTGTTTTATGCATCTGTAGCTACTGATCATTATGTTGTAAATAATGATCGAATGAAGGGCTGCACAAACAGATCCTTATAACAGAATTCTGCTGTACTGAACTCTTGTGCTTCTTCCTGTGTAATGAGCATAAACAGGGCCTGTCTCTATCATTTTTCCTTGCAGTCTCTTTGAAGAGGATATTATGTCCTACATACCCCTGCAGGCTGCCTTCCACCCTGGCTACAGCTTCTCTCCTCGCTGTTCACCCTGCTCCTCACCTCAGAACTCTCCAGGTAAATGGAGGGAAAACAACACAAGTTCTTGTGTTTGTTGTGCTTCTCCATCTGATAATCAGAGGGTAGGTCTCAGCTGGTGTAAATTGTTGTATCTCATTGACCTCAAAGGAGCTGTGACAGTTTACACCAGTTAAGAATTGGCCTCAGACAATTTTTCTGCTGGAGCATTTGGTTAATACACAGAATGCTGTCACTTTTATTTGTCTCATGGGACACTGATGTTAGCAGCATGGTGGGAATCAGAGATTGTCCAAGGAGAAGAAAATATAGTCCCGGCTTCCAAATGGTTAGGGGAGGTTAGACTCAGAAGGGGATTCTGTGTTCTGAGTCTAATCTATTGACATGTAAGTACATTCTTGAATATGGATATTAAATGGCAAAAGCAAAGTGCAAATTACATATGTATGACAAAGCTTTCAGAACTCCAGTAAACAGCTGTAGGCCAAACTTAATATTCAACCAGACAGTGTTTCCAAGACTACTGCTTCTCCCAAGATTCATAGATTTTTAAGGCCTGGAAGGACCATTAGATCATCTAGTCTGACCTCCTGTATGTCACAGGCCAGATAATTTCACCCAGTTACCCTGTACTGAGCCCAATAACTTATGTTTGACTAAAGCATGTTTTCCAGAAAGGTATCCATTTGTAGAAGATTGTTTCCAAGTGCTGTGTATCTCTGAAATAGTGTCTATGCTACGGAAATTGAGCAGCAGGTGGCTCCCTTTAGCTAAAACACCCAACCCTAATTCAGAAGGAGACTAAATTTCTCTGCACCTCCACCATGCAACTGGTTTGGTGGTCATTTTGAGTGACATTCCAGGAATATGATCTTAAATCAGTTTGGCTATTTTCAAAGCCACCTGAGCTATTTGGACACCCAGTTCCTATTAAAGTTAATGGGAATTGGGTGCCAAGTCCCCTGATGACTTTACAAATATCAGTCTTAATATTTTTGTGGAGAAACACTGAGGTCTTGGCTACACAGGGGAGATCTTTGAAAAATGTCCTATTGTTACCACTGGATTTGCTGAGTTCAAGCAGGGATAAACTTCAATGCAAATTGTGCCTTTTAATGTCCTCAGCAGGGATTTGAACCTGTACTGACTACTGATGTAATAAGGGCAGATCTCCAGTTTGCATGAGAGTTAAACCAATATCCTCACTCATCGGTGTGTTGAGAGACATGCAGTGGCTTTTAACCTTTTTTGTGGAAAGATGGTAATATGACAAATATGACTGATTTGAGTGAATGTACTATTTGTTCATCTGTACTACCAGTTGCAGCAACCCAAAATAACCAGTAATTACTCCTGTTGTGTGTTGTAAAAAATATTCTGACAGAACAAGAGAAGCGTCACCAGGGATTCTTCTTGAATGCTGTATAAATGTACCTTTCTGTTTTAACATCTGAGTCAAATAGTAATGTCTTTCTGTTGCGACAAATGAGTCTTCACAGATACTTTGTTCTTCAACTAAATGTAAAATTGTTTCCTTCTTCTGGAGGCTTTTCTGCCAAATTTCTCCTAAAAGGAATTGTTTTCATTGTCTCCTCTAAAGAGATAGGGAAATGAGATTTCATGGATCCCATTCTCTAAAACTGATTGCTGTGGTGCTCATTTACACAACAGAACTAATCAGCTGCTTTCAGAATTTAGACTTCAAAACAAAACAGGCCCCGAATTGCTGAAAATCTACTGTTAATGTGAAAATGTAAGACTTCTTGCTGACAGAAATCCTCTCTTGTGCCACGAAGGTTTTTGTGTTTATAGCTGAATGTCTTTAATAAACAGAAAAACCCAATTTCCAGCCAGGCCTGGGCCCCCTAGAAGTTCTAAATAGAAGTGCTGCTTTGGATCCAAAGGTTTAATCCTGCCAGATAATGAGATCTCCTGGAAGATGGTGAGGAGAGAGATTTTCAAGAGTACATAGACACCTAACTCCCATTGGCTTTCCATTCAAGCCAATGAGAGTTGAAGGCTCAGGAAGCACAAAGGGACCACAACCATCATCCTGGTAAGATGATGCAGCTGTCCAGAAGTGTTGGGAACCACTGAATTATATAACTGATGGCTACATTAATGTCAAATTGAACATGAAAATAATGAGCACTCCGAAATTCTACATGTACCAATAAAAGTTGATATATTTTCTAGCAAGTCATGACTGAAAACACCAGGTGTATGAATAAGACCCTCTTTTAAAGATTTTAAAACTCTATGACTTTTCTCTTTTCCCTTCTAGGATTACAGCGAGCTAGTGCAAGAGCGCCTTCTCCATATAGGAGAGACTTTGAAGCCAAGTTACGCAATTTCTATCGAAAACTTGAAGCCAAAGGATATGGGCAAGGTCCAGGTAAAATTAAGTGAGTATTATGTCAGATGATTAAGATAATTTAACATGATGCAGCTTAGTCTTGTCGTTGTAGTAATGAATCAGGAAATTGATCTGATATATGTGACAATACATCATTATCATGGGACAGGAATGAAACATTAGATGATGTATCTATGTATTTTATCCAGGGAAAATGTGTGTGTACAAACACAAACACACACACACACACACACATATATGTTAACAAGAAAATGGGCCAACAAGAGGGTTATATCTGGGGGGCTTTATTTCTCATGGATCCATTTGGTCCTACACACCTCCTCTACCTACTTTAAGGATATGTTGGTATTTCTAGCTATACCATGTGTGTTAAGCAGTAATGGTAGAGAAATAACATGTTAGACAAATGTGAATGATATTGGGCCAGTACACTATTACAGTTCTGAAGTAGCTCCAAATCCTTTGGATTTACTCTGAGTTGACATGTCAGTGTAACTCAGGATGAAAATTTGGCCCTGATTGTTGTAGACATTGTGGGCTTGAGTACCTACTGCTACCATTGATTTGAACTGACAGTGCAGGTGCTCAGCACTTCTGAAAATCAGGCCCTATCAATTGCTTTCTATTCCCCATTGCACCTAAATATTTGTTAGACTAGCTCTTTTTTCATTTTGTTAATATGTTTTTGGGATCTGACCCTGTAATTCTCTATCACTCAGTTATGGAGTTCACATTCCAAACAGCCTGGTAGCTGGCTAGCCTCTCTGCACCATTTTCCATGGATAGTTATAGTAATTGGCTAAAGCACTGTATGCTTCTAAGGTATTTCCTGGGCATCTGGTTGAATTCATGCATCAGGCTGGCTTCATACCAAACCACTTGTGTTGTGGAAAAAATATCTGAAAACCAGTCAATTTATTCTAGGCAAATGTCATCATCAAACTATTATTGCACTGTCTGAGGAGCTCTAGCCATTGGTTATCCCCTTCAGAGTCCTGCCAAGGCAGACATGAAGAACATTCCAAAAGGACTTAGTGCCATTACTTTTCAGCTATATATGAAAAATAAGAACTTCTTGTATAGAGGATATTTTTACAATGGGCCAAGCTCGTAAGTAATCTTTGAAACACTGGGCTATTCATTAAAGATGTTTTGGAGAGTAGATGGGGCCATTTAGTGGATATAGGTAAGGACTGATTCTCCCCTTGCTTACACTAATGTATCTTAAGGAATAATGCCTTGAAGTCCACTGGTGTAAATCCAGTGTGAGATCAAAATCAACCCCAGGGGTGCTGTGACACCATGAAGGTAGAAAGGCCAGAGGCCTGTCTGCAACACTAATTTCTGTAGGAGATGCAATGGAGAGCCTTTGGGGTACAGCAAGATTTTGAACCTAACTACCCCTTAGAGGAGAAATCTACCTTTCAGTCATAGAGTAAATCTTAACTAAACAAATAAACAAGAACCAATAAAAGGCCAAAACCAGCCTTTGCACAAGCAGGCATAACTCCGTAGACTTCAATAGAATTGCGTCCTCTTATTCCAGGGCTTAGTCTGGCCCTTTAATAGCTCCTGTTTACCTTTATGTATATTTGATAATAGCATCTCTCACTCCCCTCCTCAAGAGTTTCAGGCAGTGCTGGTTAACAAGATCATTATTACTGTGTTCTTTTGCAGGTTAATTATACGGCGTGATCACTTGCTGGAAGGCACCTTCAATCAGGTGATGGCTTATTCACGCAAGGAGCTTCAGCGGAACAAACTCTATATCACGTTTGTTGGAGAGGAAGGGTAGGGAACTATTAAATATTGTGAATTGTGAGAGAGCCATTGCATTGCAAAGCAAGTATGGCACTGGGAAAAGGCTGAATCTCTCTTGTTGTGCATTAGGTTTTACTTGTTACCTCTGGGGAGGTGAACTGGTCTATATAAAATTAAAAAGAACCCAAACCTTTGTACTACTTCTCCATGCTGAGCACTTCTATAGTTCCTGAGTTCTTCTGAAACATTAACTGATTAAGACTCACCATCCTGGTGCCATGGGTATTATCCCCTTTGGACAGTGGGGGAACTGAGGCACTGGCCCAAGGTCATACACAAGTAAATATCAGATTGTTAATCCTTCCGGTTGTTAATCCCCCTCTTTAACAGCAATTTTCACTGCCTCTTTAAAATGAACCTTTGTTGTGGTTGAAAAAATGTTTTCCTCATTCACCCTAGCTGAAATGAGAAGCATAAATACTATTAGAAGAGCCATTGTTACTGTCAGCTAGAAGCAGAAAGTACTGGAAATCTCTCGAGGCATTTTTTTCTTGTGAGACTTCCTGGCTGATCTGGCAAACCCAAGAAGTTCTGGTAGTTCAGATGAGATTACAGTAATCAGCTGAGTTTTTGTTTTCTTATCCAAAATAAACCTTGCAAACCTCACTCATTGCCACTCCTCACATCAAGAGTTATGCTTTACATGAGGTTTCATCTGCAAACTTTAATTAAAGAAAGACATTTTGAATCTTTCCATTGTTTCAAATAATGAAGTGTTGTGTGTACAGTCTCTTAACAGAAACACTGAAAAGATTTAGGGACAAAAAGGGAGATACAGTTTCAGCTCCAAAGATGTTGGGGCAGCTGGCAAAGAGCACAACAATCACTGCTGATTGAATTTGCTAAAGGTAGCAGATCAAGTAAAGGGTTCTGTAGAGTTTAGTTCATCTGGAGACATGCTAGATAAAGTGAAAACAGAGTAAATCACCAGTCAGAAAGGGGGTTACTTTTAGTGCTGTTGATATTATGGACTTTATTAACCCCTTGATTTGTGAACATCTATGGAGTCAGTGTCATCTAAAAGTTAGAGAAATTCTGTTATAGCAAGTTCTGTCCTTGACTCTGTCGCCACCTTACAATGTGACCAGGGGTAAATCATTAAACTTTCCTTTGTCTCAGTTTACTCATCTGGAGAATGGTTCTAATATGCTAACAATGGTCCATTTAATGAACTTTACTAGGCACTTTCCCCTAATTCCCAGTAACTTCTACTGTGTTTGGCATAGTATCCTGCAAATCATAAAAATCGAATTCATTTACATCTGAGGCCAAATTCACCCATGGTTTATTCTGTTTAATGCCTGCGAAGATCCTGCTGGAGGCACCCTAATGTGGAAAGTGAGGAGGTGAGCAGATTTAAATGGTGCAACGTGTCCTCAACAACCCATGTACCTGACAATGTGGAGTACATAGGGGGAGCCAGAACAACACAGAAATTGGGCAGCACTGGCTGTGAAGGGAATGTGTTGAATTAATGTATCTCCCAGAAGCCTTCAGTGCAGGGCTCCTGTGAGGGATTTCTGAGAAGCAGGCAGGTTTAATTTATACCACCTTGCACCAGCCATAGCGAATCTAGCCCTATGTCTTTATATTAATTGAGCCAGATTTTTATCCAACTGATTTCAGTGGAGTTACACCAGAGATTAATTTGATCCAATCTCCTTCACTTTCATGGCTTTAATCTGATTGCATACTTGAGAGTTAGAGCAGCTAGGAGTTAACTTCAGCCTTATTATAAAGTAGTCGATCCAGCTGCAGAATTTTCCACCTCCTTTGAATGTATTAAATGTAAAAAGTAATGCCTGTCTCAGAAACCATTTTGGCATTAAGTGATTTATGGCTCTAAGTGGTTCTTTCTTATTACTGTGTGGCGGTTTATATTACACTAACTATAAAAGCTGCCTAACATTATGGCAGGACAGTCTGTTTTTAATAAATCCATCTCATTTGGGATTAATGCATTCATGAAGCATTTTTTAAATAGTTGAGATAATTGAAAGTGGTCTGATTTAAAAGGAGAAGAAAGAAAGAAAGAAAGAAGTCTTAAACCCAGACAGCAAGGCTTAGTTTAAATGTAAATGCCCCTCCCCAAGATACCAAATAAACTTGAAATCACCAGAAAACTAAAAAAGCATATGTTTACAAGTGAAAAATCACCATACCAGTTTACAGGAGAGAGAGTTGTGTTAGGACCCAGTCTTGTTCATCCTTGACTTGAGAGACCACAACTATGCACTGTAAGAAAGTACCCAAGGTTTGATATCTTGGGACTGGAATGTGCTTCAGATTACATACTAATTCAGGGAGTAAGAACCCTCTTTTACTCCCCTGTGTGAGCTACCCAGACCATGAATCGAGGTCTTCAGAATTAAGCAGGTGCTGCATACCTGCTTATATCCCCCGGCAGAGTAAGGAAATGTGAGAAGCCTTGCCTCGTTTGCTGCCCAGCTGAGAGAAGGGGTGTTGTGCAGTAGCAAATTATTACCGCATGGAACAAAGGGGACATAGGAGAAAGCTATATTCAGGGATGTGTCTGTCATGATACCTTCCAGGAATGCTACTTGGGGAATGATGCAGCTTATGCAACATGGCTGGCTGAGGTCTCTTCCTAAAATTAAAACGTAGTCCTTGGAGAGGAGAATTAGCATCAGCAAACATGTTAGAAGTTATTGTCTGCAAGTGCATTAGCCAGTACAGATGCAAAGCATAAAATGCACACAGCTAGGAATGAGATTCATTTTATCTGAATTTCCTTTCCAGCTTGGACTACAGTGGTCCCTCCCGAGAGTTCTTCTTCCTTCTGTCTCAGGAGCTCTTCAATCCTTACTATGGCCTGTTTGAGTATTCAGCCAATGACACTTACACTGTACAGATCAGCCCCATGTCTGCGTTTGTGGAAAACCACCTTGAATGGTAAGGTCTGCCGTATAAATGTTAAGCAGAATGAAACAGTCCAGTTAGATCCACATGATGAAGGGCATATATTACAAGTGCTGTCAGTTTACATCAGGTTGCATGTAAATCCCATTCCTACCATTGTCAGAGGGGAGTGAGATTCTTTGGAAATGGGGCAGGAGAAGAAAGCGAGAAAGAGGGAATGTCTGTGTGTGTAGATAAAATAATAGGGTGTGAAAGAGGAGGAGTTATCAGGCCTCTCACTGCATGCTCTGATGCTAAGGCATTGTTTGTGCCCATGTGTGAGTGCACAAGATATAGTGGAGTGAGAAGATTCAAGGAGCTTTCTTTTATCCTGCTATCCTTGCACTCCTGTGCAGAGGCCAGGTACAATTGCTGTTCTTCAAGTCACTTGAATGCAAGAACTCGGCAAGCCCAGAGAGGGCTGGAAGTGGCATGACTGTGGCTCTGCCCACGCAGTGCCAACTAGCCACCTTGCTTTGTGTCAGGACACTGAAGCCCCATATTGCTCCCTGTCAAAGAGTAATGTTTGTGCTGTGTCTGTACTCCGGGCAGCACTGTGCCTGCCTGTGGCACACCTCCAGGTGCTCCTGCTGGGGTGGAGTGTCCCATGCTGCCCCCTACTGCAGGCTGTATTGAACAGCACACTTTAGCCCTAAACAATGCTGTAGCCTCTGAAATAGCTCAGATTTTGTGTGATGGGACCAGCAAGAATGGTCTCTCGTCACCTACAGCGTACATGCTGAGAATCAGTTTGCTGCTCAACGTTTGCTTTTATTGTGTGCCTACAGATAGGATTCTGATCTTCTCCGTTTACTGTCTGCCTCTTCAGCTCTCTGTCTTTTGGGAGTTGTTTTCCTTTTGGTAATTTCAGATGTGGTGCACTGAACTGTGGGCTCCCAATTCCTAGCTTTATTTGTTCCCTTTGAACAGAAGCACTTGTTGGGATTTCATCATGTTATTGACATATCAATTATTCCTATTGATGTTTTTCTTCATCGAGGGAATCTCAATAACTCACATCAGAAGGGTTTTCTTTTTAGTAGAGTATAATACATACCTCATTCAAGTTGTGAGTTCCATATGTCCTTCTGTTCTTGTAAACACTTCCTCCATCCCATTAGCTTAGGGCGAGCAGTAGGAAGTCTCATGCCAGTAAATTGTTCCATTTGGGAGCTGGTGTGTGGTTGCAGTGGATGGGTAATATAAATGCCTTGGATGCAGCAGTGGTGTCTGAAATAAATGTTTGGCACATTGCCACTCCCATGAAGTTGAGTAAGATGGGATCAATGATTTGTGATCTGTAATACATATATCAGAATGCCTCCCCACCATCATTCTCAATGAGTGTTCAATTCAGGTATCGCAATGCTTCCTATGGCTGGCCTAGTTTCTAATGGCAGAAACGCTAAGTCTTCCTTCTGCTTTTTAAGCACGGCTGATGAGCTCCAGAGTTCAGTGGCTGTAGCTATGAAACCGATGCATTTTGTTTTCTACGTACTGCACCTTTACAATTTCTAAAAATTCTTCCTGTGAGAAGAGTTTAGCAGCCATGTTGTCCTCAAGTGTGGTACAATACAGTCTGTTGGAGAGGAGACACACACTGTGCTCTCTCCTACTTTTCTTCTCTCTCGTTTTGGTGTCCTCTTAATATAAAACAGAGTTAATGTAGACTGAAAGTACTTGGTTGCCCTTTGTGTATAGAAAATATATAATACAGAGACAGACCTGTCCAGCCATCACTGGCCAAAAGGATGAGTCAGTCAGGCAAAGGGAGGGCCTTGTGAGTAGCGAAACGAGTTGTAAACCAAAATATGGGAGGTTTGCAAGAGCCAGGGGAAAATAAACAATAGGGTGGCTGTACAGTGACAGTGCTTGAACCTTTGTGGATATAATTAGCTGAAGCCAAAATCTCATAATCAGCCTGATCAGCTGGCTTTTAGTATCGAGATACATTTTCTCTTGCTATGCATTCTGATTAATTAATAATGCATTCTGATTAATTCTGCTATTAATATAAAGACAATATTTTACCTCAGATATACACATGCAACTCCAGTTAACTATACTGGTAGTTCTATGCATCCATCTCAGGCAGAATTTGGACACAGCATTTTAAAATCCAAAGAATAGAATGAATCCATTAAGGGTATATAGACTAATATATCTGAGGATAGGTTATAAACCTGCCTGTGGTTGTTCGGGTGTGAGGAGTGGGACTTTTTTTAAAGCTCTCAGCATGGTCCTAATTCGGCTCCCATTGAAGTCAATGGTAAAACTCTTATTACTAAAATGTATCTATCTTAGGGTTTCCTATGGGCCCCCTTTACCATAGTATCTTAGCACTGGGGACAATAATATTCCTCTGGCTCCCAAATTTGTTGTGAAATATCTAACTCACTGATATATATAAAGTGGTTTGAGAGCCTCAGATTTAAGTCACTGAGTAAGTGTAAAGTAGTAATATTAGAGTCATTTTAAACTTTAAAGTTTGAAGTCAGTCACAGAAATTACACAATCACAGATTGTTTCAGGTCTGGGGTTTCCTTGAGCCTTGTACCTTATTTATGGCAGACTTTCAGTAGTGCAAACAGCTTATCATTCACATGGAATCTGTCCTTGGGCCCCTTTTTCTTTTAGGAAATATTGCAAGTCCCATCAAGAGGTACATAGTGCAAAAGGCATCTTTAGCAACAGCTGTTGGAATTTTCTCTTGCAGTATGCTTAAATGAATGCTGATGAGTTTGGGATAAAATATACATAAGAAAAAATTAACTGTTGTCCATGCTGGGAGAATTGAGAAATCCACATTTTCTCTCCCAGCCAAAAACTTTTAGTTCTCCCCTCAGTAATGGCTTATTTCATGCCTTGTTCCTTGTTCAAACAACATTCCAAATCCAGAATGAGCACATCAAAGCACAGAGTAGTCATGTGTATGCCAAGTGAAAATAGAGACATAGACTGGAAAATATTTCTCATTTATGGAGAAACTGAGATTTAACGTTTTTCCTATAAGCTTCCACTGAATAAGACTTTTTTCCAGGTCTCGTGTAAATGTTGTATGCACAAAACTAAGAGATATCACACATACTCATGTTTAAAAATTACAGCAATGGAAAGAAAAGATATCTGAAAGGAATCTAATTAAATCTCTCTCTAGAGTGAAGAAGTGTAATGAGAAAATTTTGGCTGCATGTAGTAGATTGTACCTTGGATCCATAACCATATTGATTCTTCTTAATCCATGAAATAATAAGTGATTATATCTTATCTAGTCAGCCTGTCTAGCTACCTGTCTGAATATTTATAAAGCAACCAATCACCATGGTATATATAGCAGCTGCGCTTGTACAGGCTTCAGAAGGCAAAGGCTTTCCCTGTCTGCTGAAAATAACATGACACACTTGCTGAAGAAGTCCCTCTTTCCCCAAATAAATTAACCAAGTCCAGTGGCATGTGTTTTCTACCATTTTGGTAGAAAGAAAATTATTGTAGGCAATAACCCAGAAAGATCCTCTCTGTGTTCTTGACCAGGTCTGTGGGACAATTGAAGTAGAGAGAGCCAGTGAACAATCCATCCCAGGTTTTCTATCAGACCCAGTGCATGCGGGGAGAAAGGACACTTGGGAATGTTAAAAAGTTCTCTACTGACCTGCAACAAAGTTGGATATAATATTCAGTAAATCATCTAGTTCTCTATCATAATGCTGCATTCTTAGCAAACAAGTATTAATAAAAGGCTCCCAATAGCCTGTGACAGCAGCTTCTTACTTGCTTCCCTGTTAACATTCCTTCGAAAGAATTTTGAACTGGCTTTCAGTTTTGCAATAGCACTAACTCATTGGGGTCCATGGTCAGTCATTTATTCGTGAGTATACAGAGATGCTTTTGCTCTGGTGGTTTTCCTGGCTTTCTTGTGCTTGTGACATTCTAGATGATGAAGCCCATATGGGACTGGATCAAAGGTTAAAAGAGTGCAGAAAGACACAACACTGATATTTAGCAATAGTCATCTGAACTGTCTGTGGGAAGGCTTTGCAAAAACAGAACCATTATGGTAGGATCAAAGCTTCCTCTATCTTAGGGATGGGAAAACTTATTTGGCTTATTTCTAACCCACTCAAACATTGTACATTTGGAAGTTTAACTTAAGCGCCAACGATTATTAGGTTTGCTTTCCATGTGGTGAAAAGCGGAGGAAGGGAACTTTCTCTCTGTTGCCCCACCTCAAGATGACTCTTCTCAGACAGAAATTTCTGCTTATTCTCTTTCTTGTTTGATTTTGTGTATCTCACGGCAGTAGAAAACATCCCAACTCTGCTTGAATGGCTTGAAGAAGATTCAGTGTGCCTTCAGCGAGCAACTGGTTTGTAAAGTGGGAAATAACAAGACATGTGCTTGTGTACAAACACACATCTATAAACACACCTTGGAATCATTGCTAGACATAATGGTATAAAATAGTCAATGCCTCTCATTGTGTTCCCTATGGGCCTGATTCTGCCACACTTATTCAGGTGGGCTTTTCCTTACCCTCTGGGTAGACTCATGAAATCAGTGGGACTTTTTAAGGAGGAAGGTTCTAGTCATTATTAGTCAGGGTTGCAGAACTAGACTGCAGTTCTGTAATCAGATCTGTGCAGATGGACAGATACATTTCACCAGACCCAAACAATGGCATGTCAGTGCTTCTTCATTGCTCAGGTGATTACCCAAACCAGACTGCTAATGTAGTTATAATTCAGCCATAATATAATTGAAGTTCTGCTTAGTGGCATGGAACAATTTATCATTTCCTTAATTTTAAGAGTGGCCATTTACTCCCCATCTCCGCTGTCAGAACTCAGTCTGAGAGTTATAACAAGGACCCCCTTATCTTTTCAGCTGCATCTGAATCAGACAGTGAGGATGTTTGCAAAACATGGTCAGATGAAAATCCTGTTTCTCTTTCTGTGTGTGTCTGTTTACAAATGTCTAATACACCCTTAACTGTAGTA